TGACTAAGCACTTTGAAAACTGGATCGGCGTGCCCAGCAACGTTAATTTCAATTTGACAGAACTTTACTGGCTTAATGAACTGATGCATGCTGAAGCATGCATTTCTTTCACATTTAGGTTATATGATAAAAAGTTGTCGAAAGTGAAAAACAGAACTTGGCACATACAGAGTAATGACGATGCGAATTTAGAATACAGTGGAAGAACACGATTGCATCCCGGTATGGTACCGTAACGGTTCAAGGAATATACGACTAGAGAAGAGTCAGACACATGAAAAGGCAATGTTTTCAGACTACTGCAAAAATAAACATCAAGGTAGATAATGATGTTTGCAAGGAGATGTAGTTCATTGATCGAATACTGTCAGTGAGCGTGTTCCATAACTTGACACCAACGAATTTGATGGATTTTGGAGTAAGCTTGGTGGAAAAGCGATCCACAAAGTAAAGAGCCTTTAGCAGATGACCGTGTCCCATAGGAGTGAATATGGCCGGCCATATCATTTAGTTTTTTTTTTTTTTGTAACTTTTATTTTAACAATAGTCTGTAAAACAAAATTCAAAAGTTCATGTTATGTACAACACGACATGCCTGTTTTATTATTACTTCATTTACAGTTCCAATTAGTTCGCTGAGAAATTGCCATCTCGAGACTGTAGGTAGATCCTTTCAGCCTCCATGCAATCTACTTTCAATAATTTTTGGATAGCAAATATAACACTCTCAGGTAATAACACATCCGTTTCGAGTTCATAGTTTATCAGTGACCATATGGGGGCTGCTGCAGGATTGCATTGATTTAGGTCGAAGATAACTCAACGAATAAGGGTTGAACTTACGAGATGTATGCCGTCGGGGTTCTCATTGGGCGAGGTGCCTCACTGCGCGAGAGTCGGGTCCCTCCCCATCGAGTGAACATTTCAGTACATTGTTTTCAGGTATCTCAGCACGTTTTCTTGTTTCTGTTCGTCTTTGAAGAACATACGAACACAGGCGGCCTCCCACACTCGCTGCATGGCTTTATTGCTAAATCCTCTGTCGAATTTGAGTTAGTCTATCTGACTCCCTCTTTCCACACCAGATGTCATGTAGGGTGGCTTTCGCCAATTTCCTGTGATGACGTAATCATAGACTCTTTCTCTCAATTGTTTCTGACGTTCTTCCCTACTGGTCAATAATGGTAGCGATATTTCTTCTCTTGTCACAGAGTTGGGACGATTAGATGGTCCAGCACACTCTCCCTTCCAAGCCTCAACCCCCTCAGTTGAAGTTATGGTTATAAGGTTTGCCATGGATATTGCCCCCTGACACCTGAAGTCTCCTTCTACAGTCATCTCGCCTACCTCTTGTATTTCGTTGTTCGGGGTCGTAGCGTCGGCCCTCACTTTCATCCCGGCAACGGTAGCGGCATTTCGACAAAGGGTTTTGTCTTTTCACATGCAAAATACGCTTCCGGATAGTCCATGGGCACTCCATCAATGTCGTCGAGATCACTTTCCTCCGATAGCGGAGGGGGACAGCTAGTAATCGAGTGCTTAAGGCTTGGCGGTGAGTAGGCAGGGCTTGGTGGCGAATACGCAAGGTTCGTCATTTCTCCATCACTTCCTTCCCCATAATCTGCCTCAAACTCTGGCACTGGATTAGTAGTTGAGGTTGCTATTTCGTATGTTGTTGTGGACGGCTCTGGCTCGAGGACTTGGTCTGTGGTTGTGGTGGTTATTTCATGGGTCGTGGTAGGATCGCTATCCAACACATACCCAATAGTAAACGTTCCTTTTTCTGCCTGCTTCTTTAATTGTTTCGTCTTCTGTTGTAAGGTCGTCACGATTTGAGTAGTTAAGAGCATTAGTTCAGCCACCTCCGTTATGTCGGCTATATTCGTATCCGGTCCAATTAGTGACGATACATGTTTTCTTTGTTGAGTAGTTCCCCAGTTAGCTGTAGTTGTTAACAAAAATACCGATGCAGCTTTTTTATTCGTGTTTTCCATAATAAGTCTCTTATAGGATTGTATTGTTAATTCTGTTAAAGTAATATGAACATTGTAACGTAGTTTTTTTTTTTTTTTTTTCCTACTTTAGTTTTCAAGCCTGTTTACATCATACTTTGGATTATTCGCTATTGCCTCTAAAATTTTGGCAAAACGTTCGTGTGGGAGGTGTCTTCTCCTCCATTGAAATTCATCTAGGTAAGACGGGATTATTTCCCTTCTTGCCCCATGCATTTTTTTAAATTTTTCTTTCACTCCAGTGCAAAGCCCTTCTACAGAATTTGTGGTTACCCCCTCATCGGTGACATACATCAAGCTATGATTCACTGTTCGATGCGTGTATCCCATTCCCAACTTTTCTATGTCTCTGTAGGACCCAAAACAATCGCTCCAAATTTCTGAATGTGGTGCAACGTTTGCCTTCATCAATTCTTCCATTGTAGCTTTAGTTCTACCAGTTTCGGGCACTAATTGCAAACATATTTCTTTGGTTTCCAAACATATAGCCCCCCACAACCAAATAGGCTTGATTTTTCGGGCCCTAAAATTTGAGCATGGCTTTCGTTTGGCTATCAGCGTTTCATCGATGCAGACTGTCATTTTTTTTGCCACCGATCTTTTTAAAACTCTGAATGAGTTCTGTCGAGCATATTTCTCGTATGAAATGCAACCAATCTACAACAATACGGGGACTCACATCTATTTCATATACGATTTGTCTCTGCGGTACATCCATGGCCCAACAATATAATAATATCACCAAGTTAACCAAGTCGATTTTACTTCTCTCGAAAAACGAGTTTTTTCTTATTGTCGTTGTATTACGGCAATTAGCTTTCCTACATCTAAACCTTGCCCCATCGAGCTTGTTTGCCTTATTGATTTCTTCTACCATGGCGTTTCGACATTTGGGGCAGTTCATGCCGCGAGCGAGTACGCGATGTTCCCGCAAGAATCCTATACAGTCTCGTACATTTGACAAAACCCCAAGGGCTGCCAGACTCCGGATTTTCATATCGCTGGTTGGTCCGGTACCTATCAATAAAATTCAGAATGTCAATTTCTCGTGTGGTTAAATTCATTTTATATTCTTCTTATCTACTCATCGTTAGTTCATGACGCATGAAATTCATCGTTAATAGCATTATTTATGTATCAGATATTGTCCGTATTCCCTAGACAATTGAATGTATTGTCCGTATTCCCTAGACAATTGAAAGTGTCGGTTAAGTTATCAGCTACGTTGTTTAGTGAACATGCGCCCATTTCAGACTGTGATATATCAAAATTTAGTGTAGATATAGTCTAGTACCGGTAATGGTATGCAAACACTGCTGGACCGTAGTACATGCAATGAGCATATATACGCTCATTTAGTACATCAGATAAAATGCATTATGTATTCAAGGTATTAGTTAGTATTTAGGGGTATTTTTAAACTCATGCTGCTCCAAATATCATTTTCTTCCTCATTTTAGATACTATACTACAAAAGAAAACGGCAATGTTCCACCAATCCGACCTAACGCAGGCTCTGATCCCTGCTGCTATCAGTGCTATAAAATGGATTAAACAAGAAGTCTTGAAGCTTAAAGGTATATGAGAATCATAATAGTTGCAAACAGCTTAGATGGGCTATTCATATTGAAATACTTTAACACTTTTCTGCAATTGGAACTGCCCATCAAATTCATGTTGGAGACTTCATTGAGATTTTCAATTCATTTTTTTCCCTCGACTATGAAGATCTTTTGAAGTTAACGAGGCATTAATAAACAAAGCTGAGGAATTTGAAGAGGATATGAAGAATGTAAATGATATCAGGGCACGTCTATTTAACACTGTCAAACATAAGGATTGTACTCTCCACCCAACAATGATTCACTGAAGAAGTATGTGGCCCTCAAATCAGTTCTTGAGTTGGCAAACTGCAAGTGTAAGAAAAATAGTCAAAATAATTTATGAAAGTGTGCCAAAATCAACTTAAATTGCACAGATTTTTGTTTTTGTATTGACTGCAAAAATCACAGTACACTTATAGAGGAAAAGTCGATTTTTGAGATTTGGATTTTGAGTGGATTTCGAAAACAATTCAGAAGAAAGTGAATTAGATATTACTGTTGATTTAATAAGTATCATTTATTTGTTTTGTTTTTTGGACATTTGTTAGTGTCGTAGTCCTGTTTCTAGAAATATTATTGCCTTTGTTCAAATACATAACCACATAAACTAAAAAAAGATTAATTGTAAATTGTAATATTTCTGTTCACTATGTTATGTACATTATGTTAATTTTCTTGACTTTTGCGGTAAATTTCCAAGTGAGAAATAACTGATTTATTTGTGTTTTCGTGCTCACGATGTTAATTTGTGACTTGATTGCTTAAAAATAAATACGTTTGATAGCTTCTATAAAATGGATGTAGCTTTTTATGCTGTTCTTGTTGTAAACTGCTTGTGGTTATTACATAAAATTTATTTATGTGAATCAGCGTTGTTGGTGTCGCTGCTTTAGAGGTCACTCCCGATTCCTGTCACACAATTAAAGTATTTTTTGTTGTTGGTTACATGTATGCCATATTTTTCGTAATCTACCTAATAAATTATGATTGACTGAGGAAGTCCGATTTTGGTCAGGCAAAACATTACAGGAATACATTTGTGTTAGTGTGCTGTAGGGCTCTCGAATTGTATAGTTCTTATGTATGTGTTGTAAACTTATGGTTATTGAATTTCCGGGAACCCTTATATTCAATTTCGCACTAGGATTGTGGAACAAGCTGTAATGCGTTCATTATGTTCGTTTTCACACAAAACTGAAGAATTTATTTAGTTACCAGATGTGCGCTACGAAACTCATTTTCTGGGCGTTTTCATGGCTTCGTCTCACGGCCCATATCCGTGGTAAGGATCTACAAGTGTTTAATAACTTACTTATACATTTTTCAACAACGTCTTAGCATAACTTAACTAATAATAACTAAACAGGGCTATGGAAAGCCTGCCCAACTCAGCGCAAGGTCGAGCAGAAATAACTAATATTCATCCGCTCGCTAACAGCTGGTTTAATTCAATTGTTACGTCATGCTGAAGTCATTGTTCCTTGCCGAAAATGTAGAGAATATAGGACAGATCGTAGCACATATTTCTTGTAGTAGAAGAGTCTTTTCCGTAAAACGTGCAACTTTTGGAAGTGGGAACAAGGCAATATTTGTTACTACATTTTTAAGAAACATTTTAAAATCATTTTCAGGTAGTTACCTGATGTGCGCTACGAAACTCACTTTCTAGGCGTTTTTCAGGGCCTCGGCTCGCGGCCTATTAGTTGTTAGTAATTATTCCGTGAAAGTTACATTTTCTGTTTTAGGCTACTGTGTCATAATCGCATACATTTCGAATGTCCCTGTATTTGTATCAGTTGTGACTTATTCCTAAGATTTATTCATTTTATCCCTCATTTAATTATGTTTATTCTAACCTGTAGCGCTGTAGGTGTCGCTGCTTGAAGACCTTCTTAGGTCCCTCGCGACTCGGGTCACGCAAAAACATGATTAGTACTGTAATTTATTCATTGTGTCACTTTATGTTTGAACGTGTTTTTTGTGATGACAAAATAAACGATTGATTGATTGATTGACTAAACGTGTCCAACAAGAACAACATAACAACAAAACGATCGTTATGTCCATTAAACGTGTCCAACAAGAACAACATAACAACAAAACGATCGTTATGTCCATTAAACGTGTCCAACAAGAACAACATAACAACAAAACGTTCGTTATGTCCACTAAACGTGTCCAAAAAGTAGTCTCTTAGGTAACTTTGGTTAGCAGACTCTGAATCTGAATCTGAGAGTGAAGGATTTTCGTGGGGTCAAATGTCAGGGAAACATCTATTGGTGCTCTGTTCATTTGCTGCAAAAGCAAGACAGCCAAGAGGTTGTTTGTTGAGAGAGGTCTGCTGGGTTGCCGTACCGTACCGATACCGTTAACTTTGGTTAGCAGACTAAAGCCAGTAAAAAATTGTTTAAAAATTGGTAATAAAGTCCTAATTGAGTTAAATAAATTAAAGAATGTAACATAAATGAACAAAGACGAAAGTACCGGTACCGTACCGTACCGGTACTTCGGGTCTGGTATAGTTTAGTACCACATGCACTTTAGTACCACATGTCATTTCGACGTCACAGTGGCGTAATAATGCCCACCAAAGTATGCGAATGGCCGTCCAAAACGCGCAGACGAGCACCCGAAATCGAGCAAGCTATCTCTCTTGTTTTCTCGTCACAACGATCACGATAGGAGAGAGATCGCTGGCTTTAGCGAGTTCGTCATCAGCGGTGCAGATGTCATTTCGGGCGATCGTAATTATGCTTTGGCAAGACCTATGACGTGATGGCGACTTTGTAGTGGCGTAATTCTTGGATGGCATAGTCAGGCGGGGGTTAGTAGGAATAACATATGCAAAATTCGTTATGCTACGCCCACTGGAAGTACCTGTGATACTAAACTATACTAGACCCGGTACTTCTAGGGGGCGTACCGTATCGATAGCACAGGGGCGCACAACTTTTTTTCTTTATACGGATTACGTTTTTATAAATGGTCTACGGCTGCCAATGAAATCGAGGTCCTTTATAAGTCATATTTAAAAAAGGCACAACCCAATCATGTCCGTTTGATGTAAACAGTTTTGAATCTACCGCACCCGCAGTTTGTTTGTTACGGTACCGGTACCGTACATAAGTTAGACGACGCCCGATCGATATACGTTCGTGTTTTTATTTGTAATATGTTTCAGTGTTTGTGTGCATGAAATGCGTGAACAGGCACATGCATTCGGGTGCAACAGGCACATGTACTATAGGTTTTGCCCGTTGTCCCGATTTTCTCCATTATTCTGTGTGTTAATGCAAGTCCATGCTTCCAAAAACAAATAATTAACTGGCTAACTAATCTCATACCCGACATGTCACGGTAACCGGACGAGAGGTCGTGGTTCGCCATATAATTAAGTTGTCTTAACGGCTTTCCTCTCCCCCGAGATAAATATGTAAATCGTTCGGGAGTTTTTAAGTAAAACAGCAATTTTGGTCATGTGATGGCCGCAATTAATTTAGATTATTATTGAGACTAAGCATGGCGCGATATGAAGCATCTGAGGTGGTCCCAGACGCCCCTCGTTTGTGAGACACATAGAGTGTTTGTTTTATTGAGCCAAATGGAGGGAAATTCTTGGAATTTTGATAGTGTGCTGTACTGTCATTGGCGTGCATCCAAAACATTGATGAAATGGTAAAATTTAAACAATTATGCTGAACAATTTAATCGAATATACTGAACAAAAGCGTCTGAGGGTGACCAAATATATACATCGAATCGGATAATTTCGGTGAATACGAGATATTCGGATAGTTTAATCTACATTCCGATAAGAAGCCAGATCATTGGCGACACTTACTTTAATTACTGTTGTTATTGGCACAGTGGGAGGGCCGGCCCCAAACACCTCTTTTTTAACATTTTTGGGAGACCCATAATGTCGTTAATACAAGTGTTATTTTCACAGGGCTATGTTAATCAAGTCGCCAATTGTTTTTGTCAGCTTGCCCCTATTTGGGCTGTTAACATTGATATTATGTCTGTGAACTATATTTTTGAAAATATCCTCATCTTAGAAGTATCTCTTTACTGCTTTATCTGAAAAAACTCGATATTTTGTGATCATTAGACGCTAATTGATTGAAAGGGTGAATCTGCAACTAAAAATTTCTTACTAAAAATAAGTATTTTTCCCAATGCGCTGTTGATAATGCGGCCTCATTTAGGCCACCAACCCCTTTCAGTAACTGGACGAGAGGCCTTGATTGAGATATGACAGTACGACACACTATCCAAATTTTAAGAATTTTCCTCCATTTGGTTCAATAAAACAAACACTCACTGTGTCTGATAAATGAGAAGCGTTTGGCACGACGGCAGATGCGTCATATCGTCCCTGCTTGTCTAAATAATAATCCAACAGATTCTTTTTTTTCGAGGAATTCAATGATGACGTTGGCGTTTTTAGATTGCGCTTTTTTGTAGTATTTTGCGCAACTTCATTATACTTTATTTTCACCGATATTGAAGGACAACAATGTCAGACGTCTCCCAAAGGAGGGGTGTCTGGTCATCGGTAAAATGGGTTTCTCAATGTCGCTTGATCTGTATAGTGTGCCATACTGTATGATGAAGCTGTCTTATCGATTTTCCTCTCCCTCGGGATAAATATGTAAATCATATTCTTCATGATATCTTCATTTCTATTCTCAGTTTTTTTCCTTAAATAATTTGATAATAATTTATAATCTAATTAATCATAATTAATAATTAAATGACCAATGGTGGAGCTCTCACGGAATAGGGCTGGAAATTTTGACATGACAATATGCCGCATACTCATGAAAAGACGTTTCTTCACTGGTATGGTCGTATTTACATCAATTATTTTGATAAGTTTTATCGTCTTTGCACCTCGAAGTATAAATATTCCTGTCATGTTGAAAGAAGAACGCATCGGTAATCAAGAAAACTTGATTGGAATTGAAAAAGGACGGATTCTGGTAGAAACTCAATCAAAAGTTACTTTGTCTACTTCAACTCAGAAACCGAAAATTCAATTTCAAACTGAAGCATCTAAGATAAAAAATGAAAGTATAGCAAACACCATTTCACGTCAGATGCAAGATATTTCAAAGAAGATAACCGTTCCTCCTAAAGTAGTTGTACGAAAACCACCAGAAGTTCACAAACCTCCTAATAATAATGTAATTCCAATGCTAAAGATACAACCTGGTGCCCCACGAAGATACATACATGATGTGCAAGGCTATCAAAAATATGTCGAATATCTGAAAATGACAGAACCGTTACTTCCGAAGCAAACGAACGCTGTTGTGATATTAACTAATCATAGATCAGGATCATCATTTTTTGGAGAACTTTTTAATCAACATCCAGACGTTTTTTATGTTTTTGAACCGATATTCCCGTTTTCAAACTCATCGGAATGTAAAATGGCATCATTAAAAAAAAAAGTGCTTGCAAATATTGCGCAATGCGTTTTTCCGAACTGGGCTGAGATATACAAAAGTATTCCAGTGTCTGATTATCTTAAAAATAATCATAATATGAAATTTTGTTTGGCACATCGAGTCTGTTTTCGTGTTAATACGAAGGAACTCATTGAAGAAAAACATTGCCCAAATGTAAATCGTGTAAAATATTTGAGTGCCGGTTGTGGTGCCGTAAATATAAACCTGGCTACGAATGATTGTCGCAGGAAGAAAATGGTTGTTTTTAAAGTGATCAGACTCTGCGATATTTTAAATTTAGAAGAGATTATGAAAATCCCAACACATAATGTCAAAGTATTGCATTTGATTCGCGACCCCCGAGGAATTGCAAATTCAAGAAAACCTTTATTGAAGGGTATAGATATGAAAGAATCATTACGTAGTACGTGTGCTCGTCAATCTCATAATATGATGATGGGCTTGTTTGATACGCCTGAATGGTTGCAAGGTCGTTACAAAGCCGTTAGATATGAAGACGCAGCGTTGTATCCATATGATACCGCTCAGTCAGTGTACGATTTCCTTGGGCTGGATTTTTATAAATCGCTAAAAGATTGGATAAAAAAGAACACAAATATCGAGATTCCAAGTGAAATACTCGAGGAGACCTCTAGTGTTAGCAAACGAGATGTTGATCCTAAGCAACAAGCACATCTTCTGAGAGGACGAATAAATCTGGTAAAAAAACCAAAAGTAATATTCAACCCGTATGGACGCAAAAGGAACTCAACCGCGATAGTTCAAAAATGGACAAACTTACTTCCTTATACAACTGTGCAGCAGATTGAAAGCGTCTGCACGAAAATTATGGATTTAGCTGGGTATTTACCTGTGGGTTCATCCGAGAATTATCAGAATAAAGACAACAGATATTTTACGGATGAAATTAGAGATTTTGATGCCCTGAATAATGTATGACATTTTAATGTTTTATTACCTATTACATCAACAATATTGCTTCCATGATTTTAGCCTTGCTTTTTTATCAAATCTGAACTTCGATTAGAGGTCGTGGCTCACTATACACAATGTTCATAAGCCCTTGTGCAATCAAAGTTTTGTTATGAAGTCAGTTCTCAATATATCTTAACCAAGTTTGTTTTATTCTAATCTACCGTAATCAATGTTTGTTTAAGTTTTTACAGTTGTATATGCCCACCATCGGTTGCACGAAACAAACCAAAGTTCTTTTACTCAGTTCAGTGTTTCCCAAACTGTTTCCTGAGTGTTTCATGGAACAGGGATCAAAATTGTGACTAAATTTGTCGCCATGGCTATCTCGGTCGTACTTCGGTGACTCTGGGTCGTAAATCTCCCACATATAATCGTTCACTGACTTTACAAACACTTTGAGCCCAATTGAGCCCTTTGATATAAACTTGCGTAACAAACAGTTGGGATTACGTGAAACTAACTATCTTTCCTTGCTCTATGCTTTTGGGCAGGTATGTATGTTTTGTATGCGTATAAGGCAAGGATGCTATAGCAAGAGTGAAAATGACTAAAGAGTCTTGCTACACACTAACACAAATGCCAATGTGTTAGTGTGTAGTAACCCTCTTAAATTAATATAAACTTGCCATAGCAATTAGCAACAATGCAATTTGTGTCAATTTTTTTTTAGCGATACAATGGACTTTTTTTTTATTTTGTTAAATTGAAAGTACTATTTATTATTGAAAAAAAATCAAATCCTCTATTAATACTGTTATTTTATCAAAACGTACTATATCATGACGTCTATTTTTTTCCTAAAGCTGTTGAAACGTACTAAATCTTGTGCAGTAATTTACGTATTATTCGTCATAAATTTGTTATTATGAATTTGAAGACTTTGAACTGTTTCTTTTTCAGAACTCACTCATTCATGTTGAGTTTCCTTCAATCAAATGTTTTACACAGACCTGCTATAATTATCTACCATGTCTCCACCAAACAACATTTCACATTGAAAATAAGACCTTTAATAAAACTTACTCCTTCTAAAAGCTTATTTTTTTTTAAATAGACTATAATTTGCAATATTTGCAATTTTTATTATCAAAAAACTGTTATTAAGTTGGTAGACTTTAAAACATCTTAAAAATAAAACTTGTCATATACGTACATTCTTTTTTGAAGTCGTGCTGTATCATTTGCAGTACTCACTAATCACTATATTCACTCATAAATTTGTTAAATTTCGAAACGAAACTACTTCATACCAATAATAATTTATTACAAAAATTGTACTACGTTGTCTATTCAATTTTGTTATGTTCTAATAACTATATCTTAACCAAGTTTTATTTTTATCATTTTTTTACTTCTTTCAATACACCAGTAGGGGCACAAACTATGGTATATATGGTATCGATAAATTTCCAATTAAAAAAATTTCAGTCTTTATACACACCTTGAATAATATGTGCATTTTCAGGTACTCCTGTAGTATGTGTATGAGGGCATAATTTGTTTCGGTTTTCCTTATTCTAGGGACTGTCTGTGTTAGCCAAGTGGATATCCCTCCTTACCCATAGGCTACATCCCTTTACACGACTTGATGCAAAGTAGGCGAACAAAATTAGTTACCTCCATATTGGTACACACACTTCTGGAGCGTCCATTTTTATTATTGAAGCTGTTTTTATTGTTTGTACTACATTATTTGAACTATTTTTTATCATTATTTTCAGTATGTGAACACATCGAACACAATTTTTGTTATTTTCCGTAGTAAATCTGTTGCCAATGTTGCATTTCTCAAGCCTCTTGCCATACCTTTTATATCCATTATATTATCAATTTTGATTCATTCATTTTCTGACATAGAATATTACATGGGTGTATTTGCAATTGTTTTGGTCACATTTATCTGTCTGGCTGACGGCCTCTTATCTTGTGTCTCTCAGTTTCGTTGATATATTACTTTGAAGTTGTTATCTGTCTTATTTGTATCATATTTGTATGATATTATCTACCTGTCATTTTTATGTTAGTTTACTGTTTGCAGTAGCTTCTTTGTCTTGTACGAGGCTGTAAGGTGGAAAACATTTACACTCATTCCGAACCAATAAAAACTCGCTTTTCAAAAGTCAAACAAATGTATTTCAATCTGTATGTTGAGGAGACTTCGCTTACAGCTCGCAACACTGAGAAAACCAAATTCTGATAGTAAAAACATCGGCATTATACAAGATTGCATTTTCTATAGAATGCTATGTCAATTTGATACTCTTTACTTATCGATCTTTAGATCGGTAAGTATGTTGATGATATTTGTCTGTCTGTCTGTTAGATGCACGTGATATCTCTTGAAGGCGTGGTTGAATCTGCTCCAAATTTTGCATGTGCATTTATCATATCTCGGACCAGAAGCCTATTGATTTTGAATGAATTATGTCGTATAGTTAGCGAGTTATTAATTAATTAGTGATGGGACACACGGTGTCACTATAGAGTCATGAATCGAAACCGCATTTTCGATCGATAAGTCTTCGGTCTCCGACCGATATTCTCATTATTGTTAGTTGGTAATTTTGATTTGGATTACCACCATTAGAAGTCAGAAATTCTGTCTCCAGTATCAATGAAAATATGCAACTTCACAGCCTTGGTCCTTTATCTGCCAGCATTTTTCTTTACCCTTTTAAATAGAAATTATTCCGACAATTGCCGGTTCATTGCATATTCAAACTTTTTTTCATTATCTTGATATATCATGTATTATTATATATCATTATCTGTTACTACATCGCATAGTTGCAATAGTGTTTGTGAAAATGCAGTATATTTTACTCTATATTGTTAAAAGTGTGCAAATTTGTAAATTTTGTATTTTTTCATTCTGAACTCTAGATTTCGGCATGGTTTTTTGTATTATCGTACTCCATCCTAGTATTGGACTTAATGAAGCATGACTTGTAGTATTAAAAAAATAGTTCAGGACTTGAAATGAGCAGTAATTTATAAATTATAGTTGTATTGCAATGTTATTTTGTTAAAAAAATTTAAGAATTTATTTTTAATATTCTATGCCTCCATCTTGTCTTAAAAAACAAATTGCAGAATTATATCACAATGTTATCAGTGTTTAGATTCTGCCAGTTCTACTCCATTGCATTTTTAACTCGGAATAAATTCATCCACAGGTATTTAAAATTTCAGTTTTGTACCCAGTGAAGCGTGACCATTCGGAATAATCGAGTTTAAACAACATGGTGATTATTCTGTATGGTTCCGGTTATTTCGATTTTATCTTGCACAATTGCATTTGATTTTAAAAGTATTGCAAATTCAAATAAAATTTGAGGGGTTCTTAATCATCACAGCAATGAAACGGTCTGATAGAATCGAAATGCATTGAAGTTTGGTATTACAGCATACAAGATACATCGTTAATATTGCTACAGATTGTTTATTTTATGATGATATTTGTTTTTAATAGTAATAAATGATATAAAAATAACTCAAAAATATGGCGAGTGAATTTCAAGATGTTGAAAGTGCTCTGGAACAAATGAAAGATGAAGATTTATCAGAAGTAAAAAGGATTTTATATGGGAAACCCTGCGAGTAAGAATTTTTGATTTTTATTGAGAGAGAGAGAGAGTTTGCTCCAAGCAGGGTCAAATATACTCGCATCCATCTCTGAGCGATCACTATTGAAAGAGAGTTTGCTCATAGTAAGCTCTCATATACTCACACTCATCTCTGAGCTAAGTTACAGGCGATCACTGAATTGTCAAGACTGAGATTTTTTCATAAAATATATGATAGAGCATTATGTGCCAGAAGATTTAATCTGAGTAAAAAGAATTTTATATGGAAAATTGTACTTTATTTTATAATTTTTAGTTTTTGCACATGAAGACTACTTAGTAGTAATTAGAATGTTGGCCTTAACGTTGGTCACACAGATAGTGATCTCACTTCAATACTTATGCTCAGTCACCATCTCACCTTGGGCGGAGTGGGGCGTCGTTCTAAGTGTTAGGAATGTGCTCGCCAACTCACCTCGGGTTACCATGCATGGTTTGCAGGTTCGAATTCCATGATGGATTAATTATGTGTGACAGGATTGCTGGACTCCTCTTTGTAGTAGGGTGGTTCACCTAATGCTTTCTCCACCATCAAGTCCATGCACACGAAAACGAATAACTGGCAGACTATTCACATACTCAACATGTCCTGGTAATCGGACGAGAGGCCGTGGTTCGCCATATGGTAAACCCATCTTATCGACTTTCCTCTCTCCGGGATAAATATGTGAATCCTATCCTAAAAAATAAGGTCAAATCGCAAAGTTCTTTCAAAATACTCTCTCCTTGCATATCAGTGACTGCTTTTGAAAATCGTTGTTTGAGAGTATAATTACTGAATTCTTTTAAAAAATAATTTCAATTGGATTATATTTTAGTCGAGAGTCAAAGGTTGAAACTTTTAATGGTGCTATTTGCATTGTTATTGTTTTGATTTTGATTGATTTTGTAACTTGTTTTTGCTTTTTTGTATTGTAGCATAATTGCTGCAAAATAGCATTGATAATGTATCTTCTGTGTAACGGTAGATTACGTAATTACTTAACGAAAGGCATGAGTAAACACCATATAAAAACAAAGAATTTGAACCTTCTGTGACCCCTGGTCTCAATACAGAGAAGGGGCGTCGCCAGAAATTTTGAAAGCATATGATTAATAACGTATCTGCTGTGTAACGTTGTATTACATAATTCCTGAGCGAAAGGCATGAGTAAACACCATATAAAAACAAAGAATTTGAACTTTCTGTGACCCCTGACCCCTGATCTCAATACAGAAAAGGGGCATAGCCAGAAGAAAGTAATGGTTCTCAAAATTTCTGATTGCCAAGTTGAACTGTAACAGCTAGTGTGTCCGGTCTTGAGGTGTTTCAATCCCCTTTTTTCACATTTCGAATGGGGGGTTCAAACCCACAAGACCACCCCCTGGGTATGCCCCTGATACAAAAGATATTTCTAATATTTGACACTGTTTGCCAACTAAGAAGTCAGCTTTTATCAGCCTTCTACTTTTTTGGTACAAGCGTCTGTTTTATCAGCTTTCCTCTCTGAATCAAAAATGCGTTACGATTTTCAACTAGGACTGGGAATCTGAGCCTTGAAGTCTTTAAACCTGGTGCCAAGCTTACTATGTTAAATAGAGCAGGCTTTACTAAAATTTTTTGGGTGGCGGACGCCCTGTTTGTGAATCCTATTTTTGACGTACCCCCATCCTATGTCGTATCAATTTCTGTGCCTAACTAGCGAGGAAGGAGGATGGGATAATGTTTCTTTTGACGGAATAAAACTCATGAAAGTCTGGATCAATACATACCAATTACCAACGTTAAATTGGCTGGCTAACGGCAATTCGATAAGATTCTCGTCTATTTAGATCTGTTTAAGACTTTTTTCATATCATTGCGGACCCCCTGTGCAGTCATCAAGGACCTCCCAAGTGTTTGGGAAACCCTGAAATAGAGCATACCATACCAAAAACCTCAAAAGCTATGGAGCCGGAGGTGCCATTGTATTTTCAAACCATCTCCTCATAACCCTGCCATCTTTGCAATAACCATGTTCATTTTCTTTGCCAGCAAGCTATAAATCTCTGGTCTTTATTTATTATTGGTCTTTTAATGAGCTCGTTCCCTTTTTTTTCAGTTTTTCATTTCTCTGGATAAAAAATGGGTACTCCCGTAGTATGGGAACCAAAATGGCAGGCACCGGTATGTAGTATGTGTACCAGGTTAGGGTTAGGCTATAATTTACAAATACTACGTAATCCCCAAACTGGTAATAAAACTAAAATAAGGAAAATTGGAATAAAATTATGTCCTAACCCTAACCTGACAGCCTGACCAATGACATTAAACAACATGATAGGCAACTCTGACGTCACTCCATAAGACTACAGGCAAAACATTGTATTTCATGATACGCTCCAATGCACATATTTCTCGTCGCCTTTCCCGTCCGTTTTCCGCTCGCTTTTGCTACTCGGCGTCTTTTTTACGTGTAGTACTTGCCTTTTTGCGCCTGTAACGAAACAAAATAATCTCTATATCTAAGACGTTTTGCTTACTTGGAAAGCTGGAATAACAGGCAAGCTGTAAAGAGCAATTCTGGACATCATAGACGTTTTTTTTTTATCAGAGAAGATTACAAACGCGATAGCGGAAAGATTTGTGTGGAACATTTTGCAGATAATGACAAAGTTCAAAGTTAGTAATTTTAATGTTTGCGCTTAATCATTGAAATTTCATTTAAAGAGGGTGTCATACAAAACTGTGCTGCGATACAATTCCATAACACAAAGTTTGCACCTATCGAACTTGCTTTTGTAGGTGAATTTATTAGACATATTACATATTCAGTTAATCGTAGGTAACATTGCTGGTACATAATGCATCGTAGATAGGTTTGTTTAAATTTAGGAATTTAGCTCATAGCCCACTAATTAATATTATCTTCTATGCAGGAGGTTGCAGGGCTGAATTCAACTTGCAGCCTTACCGATCACCTGACGATGCTCATTTAGTTTGGCTCGAGCAAGTCTTCTTGAAATGCTTGTGTGGATGGAAACTACCTATATTTTTTGCCTTCCTCCGATTTTAGACAAATTTATTCTGAGGGATTTCGCATATAATTCTCACTGATTGTCGGCTGTTTATAATTCCTATTGATTGTGAATTCTGATTATAACAATGAGTTGAAAATTTTTTTACCTAATTTACTGGCACCTTTTTCTTGTCAATACTCCAAGCTGAGGTAATAAACATGACAATACATTTATGTCATCTGGAAGCAAAATATGCACACTAATTAATAGTTTGGCACATTGAGATAATACATCATGACAGAAAATACAAGTTAAAGATATGTATGACCATCACATGGTAATTAAAATTTAAAAAAATTAATAGGGGCTGTGGAGTATGGAAAGTTCAAGACAAAGAAAAGAACAAATGTTCATAGCTCATGAACTCTCAATTTTGCCTCCATTGCTTTGTGAAGGCCAATATATTTCGAGTGGCTGAATTGGTTTACCTTTATGATAGCAACGATTTTGTATTTAATATAGCGAGATTATTTCAATTTAATTGAAGTGATATAATTTCCCAAAACAATGCTTGAATCGTCTAGAATAGATCAGTGGTGTCAAACTCATGGGTTTTCGACAGCCGCATTGCATTTTGAAAATTGTAAAAAGAGCCGCAAACAGTTTTTGATAATGTATACTTAAAAGATATTTTTAAGATAGTTTTAGTTTGTGACATATATTGTGATGCAACTAAACAGTTGGATTAAGTTTTATTATTTTCTTCAATTTCAAATGCAATTACATATTAATATTTGCATTCCACTATTATTGCAACATTTGCAAGTTACAGTATTTATTATAAAAAATCGTAAAATTCTATGTACAACCATCAAAATCATTTTTGAACAAGCTTTGAATAAGGAAAGAATAATACATACACTAAAAATAACTTAATCTAAATATATGAACCTAAAATTAACAAAAATACTACAGTATAAACTCAATGTTTTAATAATTACATTTGTCCTGGCGTTTGGCATCTTTTTTGTGTCACCAGCATACTAAGGCCAGTCTGAAATGATTTTATAGTACCAACTCTAACTAACGAGGCCACATGATCATGGGTTTATCTGGATCTTTACGAATGTTTAATTAATTCCAGTAATGCAAAAAAGTTACTTTTATCATTTCATGTATAGATCAGTAAAAAAACAAATGACAGATTTTTTCGACAAGACATTTCGCACTACATTGCGTGGCATAGGATTGCTTGAATTATTATTGATATTGATTTTTAGTAACTAAGTCGTTGTATAATTATATTAATATACAAACACATGGAAATTTTCTGTTCGAAGTTGGTCTTCGAATTTGTCATATTGACTGCTGAGCTTATTGTGTTTTTTGATTGTATTGATGGAAATATGACAAATTAAACAATGTGCTTCAGAATTTTGTGAAGAGCAGAAATGTTACAACTCCCATTTTCTTCGAAAATGCCACCTTCTTCATGTACTTTGCGTTTAATTTAATTACTCAAGTGTTTTATTCAAGTATTCTTCTGCTAGCTTGATGTGTATTCTTAATTGGGTCAAAATGTGGACAAAAAAAATTAATATTCCAAAACTACTTTCAGTAAATTGTTTTCTGTGTGAATAATCAATTTCACTTCAGAAGGTTTGAAAAATCTATTACATTTAGATAAAAAAAAAACTTCCAAAATACTATTACAATTATTGTTAAGCGTTTGAGGGCCGCACTGGAAGTTCTCTGGGGCCGCGAGTTTGAGATCCCTGGTCTAGATTGAAGTTGTTCTAAAAATATATGATAGTATTTTATCATGAATGATGATTATACCCCTTCCGGAATTTCTTCTATAGTACTACCAAAAGTTGATGAACCAAATATAACACAGGTGCAGTGAGGTACCCGTAATCCTCATTTCCAAAGCTGTTTTAAGTATGTCTGGCGTGTTTTGTGCCTTTTTACAAATAAGACCGCTTATGCAATCTTACGCTTTGGAATTTTTAGTTATTTTCCTCAAGTCCTGCAGGATGTGGGGGCCATACACAACTCTACCGGAGGGTCAAATGTCTTTGCATGCCTCCATAGGTTGTTTTTCTATTGCAAATTTCTATTTTCTATTTTCAATTGCATTATATTTCTTGGAATCACACTGTCACTGATATGTTGCCAGACTTTTGATATCTCCCCGTCTGCTATAGTTGTCCTGTGAATAAATAATAGGAAATTGAGATTAGACGAATAGTTGAAAGATTTGCTTTATGTCGGCTTAATTTCTTGATTGATATACTTACTATTTCTGCTATTGCCTCTTGTGCTGCAAGAGTCTCACAATGCTTAGACAGGTTGTCCACAACTTTCACATCTGAAGAAAGAGAGGAGATTTATTAATTTTCGTTAAGAATAAATAAAGCAGTCTATATGATTCAGAATGGAAAAGCTAATAAATCCAATATCTCATGTTTTATTTAAAAAATATTTTACTGAATTTGGTATATAAACCAAATAATAAAAGGGTTTAGTCAGAAAATTACAAGCATTCGTGGCCCCAAATACTTGAGAAATCAGACTATACAATATAGACCGGTATGAGTGAAATGTTAGGTGAACTTGTTAACACTTTGATTCAATACGCAAATAAAAGTGAATGCGTAATAGTATGTTACAATGAGCAGCAATCAACGATGAGTATATATCCTCACTGATTAAAAAAATCTAACTGGAGGTGCATGAACTATTTGAAACCATAAGGGGTAAGTAAATATGTAATTTCGGCAAATGGGCAACTACGTACCGTACTGAATTAATAACTTCGTAGTATTTGACAAAGGCTGGCTTTCCCACATGTACTTAACAGTGCGATGCCCGGGTGTGATATACAACAATAGTATTCACCTTACCTTTTACCGATTTTTTTTTACCCCAACTTTCAAAAATATCATTAAAATCGACAACAACTGTCAAAGCAGGCACGAACACCATTCGTGTTACGCCTTGAAAGCAGCACACATCCGCTCGTTTTCGTCTCGTCAAGTATGTGCATTGGAGCGTGCTATCGAATACGATCTTCGGACAAAAATGCCGGAGTTGCGCATCATGTTGTTTAATGTCATTGGCCTGACACACATCCTACGTTCCGGTGTCCGTCATCTTGGTTCACATACTACAGGAGCACCAAATAATGCAATGCCAATCTCAACTTTATTTCAATTTTTTTAGCAAGCTAGAAATTCCTGCCTCTGCTGTGTCATCTGCAAATGAGAATGATTATGAAATAGCTGGATACGAGATTCCGAGTGTAGGAATGGAACAAGGTCGGCCTCCCAGACGTGTCAGGATTGGTTTGATTCAGAATAAGATTGTGAAACCAACTGATGCTCCGATAAAAGAACAGGTATGAATAAAATTTGCTGTTAATAGAAGACTCGGTGTTTGCCGCACCTTGTATTAGGAATACACTTCTAACAGCTTTGAATACTGCATGTTGGAATTTCGGGTACTCCCGTAGTATGTGTATCAGTATAGGGTTAGGCTATAGTTTTATTCCGATTTTTCCTATTTTAGTTCTATTACGAATTCGGTGACTGTCTAGCGCCAAGTAAATATACCCCTGCTTATAGGTTTCAGTCATTTTACGCAACTTGATGTAAAGTAGGCAAACGAATTTATTTACCTCCATACTTCTGGAGCGCCAAATTTTGTACAGCATGAATATTTACGAGGAGATTTCTGGACTTTTCGCCAGCTTAGGATTGTTTATGTACCGTAACTGGTGGTCAGTTCTGGCATCATTCACTGTCCAATCCATGCGTCTGTGCATAAAGGTTTCTCATATTATGATTAATAACAATGATGAAATTTGTTGTTAGGCTCGGTGATTCCCGCACCGTGCATTAGGAACAAGCTTGCTATCACATCTCGTAACATACTTGCAGCAGCATTGATATACTGTATATGCTTGTTTTACCGCCCGATCTTCATTAAAGGCCCGTTTAAATAGTCGCCCGTGAACATAAAAAAAAATAAGGGCCGGTGCTTGAATACCCGCCCGATGTAAAAGCTGATTTTTCAGTGGTAGAGAACAATAGGAAATAAGAAGCGCTTCTGTCACAACGCTGTTGAATTTTAAGCGCCATTAGATAACACTCACGCCTTAGGCGTCCTAACAATATATTAATTAACAAGCGCCCATGCTTGAATGAGGGCCGGTTTGAATAAGGGCCCAGTTAGTGAGTTTAGTTAAAAAAATATGGGCCTGGGCTACAGAACGAGCAACTACAGTAAATGTTTCGCTTGATCACATTTTATACTAAAATCGTTCCAGGTGACTGCACTTCATGACAGAATCAGTTTGATGATCAAGGCAGCTCATGATTGTGGTGTTAACATCGTCGGACTTCAAGAGGCTTGGAGTAGGTTATGTTTTTTTTGTATGTGAATTTGCATCAAGCAGTAACTCGCGTCCTAAAGTATTTGTAAGACAGTAGTTGCAAGCTGGCTTGGAGCTGTGCCAGGGAGGTTAACGTTGGGGCTCTAAATTCCCTCCCCCCCCCCCCCCCCCCTATTTCTTTTGAAATGTGAAAAAATGCATTTTCTTCATCATACATGGCAATTTTTCAAAGTTTGAAACACAGTTTACGTCCCCAAGACAAATATGATGGTGGATATGTAGTACATATCCTTATTCTAAGCAGAAGAATGCAATTTGAAATATTGTTGATTATACAGGGCGTCCATAAAGTCCCTTTACAATTTCAATTTTGTTATGAAGTCAGTTCTCAATATATCTTAACCAGGTTTGTTGTTTTAAACAGTAATTGTCCAAGTATTTTTACTTCATTTAATAAATCTGTGAGGGCTAAAACAATATATGGTATCAATAAATTCCCTTTGCAATGTTAAAAACTGTAAGACCTTATAATTTAACCATCTATTTTCTATCTCAGCGATGCCATTTGCTTTTTGTACTCGTGAAAAATCACCTTGGACTGAATTCGCTGAGTCAGCAGAAGATGGGCCAACCACTAAGCTATGCCAGGAGGTAAAATTACTGGTTTTAATTCTGCCTTAGTTTCAAATTTTGATACTCCAGAAGTATGTGCACCAAGATGGCGTACACCGGAACGTAGTATGTGTACTAGGTTAGGTTTAGGCCATAATTTCAGGTAAAAATACTATGGGAGTCACCTGGCTAGTCCCCGAACTCACAATAGAACTAAAATTAGGAAAATTGGAATAAGTTTTGGCCAACCCTAACCACGTACACATACTCCGGTGTCCGCCATTTTGGTGCACATACTTCTGCTGGAGCGCCCAAGTTTCATTCAAACCACATGTGCCAAGTGCTTGTTTCACACTGAAAACTAATTAATATTACATATTATCTTGGTATGTACAAGTGACAGCATATCCAAAACCTTATTATTGTTTTAATCTATTTGTATCTAATTCAGCGCTTCCCAAACTTTTTTGCCCCAAAACACCTCCGCTTTTTATCTCGCCTTGTGGAATACCCACAAATTAGAAGGTGAAATTGATGAGTAGTTTCCAAAAAATTCAATGGTGCTCCTGAAGTATGCGAACCAAGATGGCGGACATCGGAACGTAACATGGGTAACAGGTTAGGGTTAGGCGATAATTTTTTTCCAATTTTCCTTATTTTAGTCCTATTATCAGTTCGAAGACTAGCCAAGGGCCTCCCGTAGTATTTATACCTAAAATTATGGCCTAACCCCAACCTAGTACACATATTACATTCCGATGTCCGCCATCTTGGTTTGCATACTTCGGGAGCCCCAATTCAACTATGGTGAAATTGAAAGTTTTCTTTAAACTTGACAATTAAAAATAAGGCCGATGCCACAAGGCCTGTCCGCCTATTTGTTGCCAGTTGTGAGATCAATTTCATACCAAGAGTCGCCGGTGTACGACTGAGTTCGCTATGGAGACCAGTTCCTCTTTAATCCTCTTTCTAACAGCAAAGAACTATGTGATTGCTGGAAAAAAATGAAAAATATACAAATAGGTTCCTTATTATAATCTTAACTTGCCTGGAGCCTTATGCCAAGAGGACTTGTAAACTCTTTTTTCACCTTTACAGTTGGCAAAGAATTATAATATGGTGATAATATCCCCGATATTGGAGCGGGATTCTCTACATTGTGGAGTTTTATGGAATACAGCCGTTGTTATTTCGAACTCTGGGGAAGTTCTTGGTAAAACGAGGAAAAATCATATCCCGAGAGTTGGAGACTTTAACGAGGTTTGTATTTTGTCACCAGCAAGTGGTGTTTAGTTACAGTCAGCTACAATCAGATCTTTTTTGCCAGTTTTGCAGTGTGTTTTGTTAACATTCATACTGGCTCTGCCCTGCCACCTAGTGTATTTGTCAACACTAGGTGATATTTAGTTCTCATTCACAACCAAACATACGTTTTCTGATATAATTGTCGTGATGTAATTGATTGAACAGATTTTTGCCAGATATAACTCTGTCAAGCTAACCAGTGTTTATCAGTTTTGTTTCAGGTATTTGAGATTTTCATGTTTATCCCGGAAAGAGGAGAGTCCATCAGTTTGTTAAATCATATGGCGTCTTGTCCATTTTCACAGGTATTTGTTTCAGATGCATGGACTTGGTGCTGGAGGAAACCATAACCAACCAGCAGTTAGTTACATGAACCACCCTATGACAGTTCGGGTTCCAGCATTCTTCTCGTACATATTTAGAGTTATTAAACTAAAATATTCTCATATTTTATTCAATTACCTTTTTACAAAAATTAATTTATTCATAGCTGAGCGAGAGTATTTTAGTTATGTCCATCAAAATTTATACTGTGCTCAAATGGCCGATGTCAAAATACTTTTTGTCACTATACACACAAATCACTTTTTTGTTATGTTTTCAGTCATATTCTTGCCATGGATCTAAAATACTTTTGTTTTTCTTTCAGTCGACCTATTACATGGAGGGTGACACCGGCCACAGAGTTTTTCAAACAGCATTTGGTAAAATTGCTGTGAATATCTGCTATGGGAGACATCACCCTCTCAACTGGTAAGTGTTTTGTATTTTGTACCATCAACTAGAGTTAAGAATTGGCCCAAAAATTCCAGCTCGGCCCGACCCAGGCCTGTGGGTATTAAAAACGGCCCAAGCCCGACTAATCAACTGGATTTTCAAGCAAACCCGAAATTTTATATTTTATTCATGTTTTCAGTAATAATATTTATTTTATAACATGTAGGCCAGGGGTCGGCAACCTTCGGCCTGCGGGCCGCATATGGCCCGCGGGGCAATATAATCTGGCCCGCGACGCTTCACTGAATTATAGTAACAAAATAGCTGTTTTGTCGATTATATTCTAACGTAACAAGTATATAATTCACAATTACTCGTTTAATAAGCCTATGATTTAATTATAATTTAGACAAATGGCAACAAAACGCAGAAAAGTTGATGCTAAGTACAAATGGTTGAATGGTGCAGAAAATATTCAAATGGTCAGTCTTTGCGCGCTGCTTAAAATTCAACTTCTGATCTGTGTGATAAAATGTGATTCATCGGTCATCTGTTCGGTTTTAAACTTTCTAAAATAATGTGCGGCCCGTCAATGACTTGCAACCTTTAATTTTGGCCCGCAAGCGACAAAAGGTTGCGACCCCTGATGTAGACCCTAGTTTAGTATCCATACATAGTTTTAGTAAATATTTTTTATAAACATATATTTATTTAAAAAAAAGTCCGCGATAGTGAAGCCCGACCTAAACGTAATGATTGACATTTCAGTTCAATAGTTTTCCCCTTCATGCTAAGATAAGAATTTATCAATTATCAATATATCAATGTATCAATATGTGATGTATGTATCAATTTATCCCGGGGATAAGGAAGTCAATAAGATGGTTAAGTCATATAGCAAACCAGTCCATGTTGGTCATTTATTTCAGATGCATGGACTTGATGGAGGAAGTCGTAACCAACCAGTGGTGACGTGAACCACCCATGATAGTGAGGAGTCCAGCAATCCTTTCGCACATAATTATTCTCCACAGAATTTGAATCTGCAAACCCATGTAGGATAATCAGATAACAAGCGTATCCGCTCCAATCCTCCAACTATCAAATTTGTTTACACTAATAATTACTGCCATGTCATTATTTGATTTACCTCTTCACAACAACTATAATCACTGGTCATCCAGCTGTAACAACCTGCCTCTGTTGATTCCATGCCCAAGGCACTTTTGTTAGACTTGACACTTTATCCATATTTTAGAACTCAGAAAGTTGAATGCCAAGTTTTATTTCATCCAATGGGCACTGGCAGCAATTAAAATAATTTTTTAAACATTTTCTTTTTCTAATCAAAAATTTACTATTTTGACTATAATTAAGGATAGAAATTTGGTTCTCTATTTGGACAAAAGCGACAATAGTTATATGGATAATCCTTACTAACATTGTAAGATATCCTAAAGATATTTTCAACAAGTTTTTTTAAAATTTTTTACGCAACGCTTCTGGAAAGTTACTTCAAATCCACCATAAATCGTATTGAGGGAATTTCAAAAGAAGGAATCTCTTTGTGCCCATGATGGATTTCTTGCAACTCTCTTCTCTATATAACTGCTCTTGGCCGTGCATAAAATGAAAAAAAAAATGAATCTCAAACATAAATGATTGAGATATACATATTGAAACCCTTAAATTACATTTTTCAAAGCTGATGTGTCCACATTTAGTTGAGGGCTCGGGACCTTGCTTTGAGCGAACTTACAATTCTTCTATCAGTGCTCTTTCCACTTTTAGTTGAGGGCTCGGGTCCTTGCTTTGAGCGAACTTACAACCCTTCTATCAGTGCTCTCTCGCCTTTAGTTAAAGGATCGGGGCCTTGCTTTAAGCGAACTTACAATTCTTCTATCAGTGCTCTTTCCACATTTAGTTGAGGGATCGGGGCCTTGCTTTAAGCAAACTTACAATTCTTCTATCAGTGCTCTTTCGCCTTTAGTTAAAGGATCGGGACCTTGCTTTGAGCAAACTTACAACTCTTCCATCAGTACTTTTTTCACATTTAGTTGAGGGCTCGGTTCCTTGCTTTGTGCAAACTTTCAACTCTTCTATTAGTACTATTCTATTAGTACCCTAAATTACATTTTTCAAAGCTGATGCGTGTCTACAGAGATCAAATACTTGGATCCTTTATCACCGCTACTAATGCAAAAATGTGAGATTTGAGAAAAACACCAGCGCCACGTTTTAAAAATGTCCTTTTTCCAGGCTGATGTTTGGACTAAATGGAGCCGAGATCGTATTCAATCCTTCAGCTACAGTCGGAGCATTGTCGGAACCAATGTGGCCGATCGAAGCTCGTTGTGCCGCCATTGCGAATCATTACTTTACATGTGCGATCAATAGAGTTGGATCGGTAAGATGCTTTTGGGTGTTTACTCATAACAAGGCTTTAGACCAGGGAAGCCGCAAAACATTTATAAATGGTTACGATATAGTAGATATTACTTTAGATTTTTACTTTCAGGAAACTTTTCCAAATGAATTTACTTCTGGGGATGGAAAGAAGGCTCACAAGGATTTTGGACATTTCTATGGTAAGTGGGTCATCAATTTCGACGGCAAGGCTGGCTGTGCTAAGTGTTGGAAATACCTCTGATTATCCTGTGTGGGTTCGCAGTTTCAAATCCTGTGGGGATAATTATGTGCGAGAGGATTGCTGGACTCCTCGACGCCTTAGGGTGGTTCACGTAACTGCTGGCCAGTTAGGGCTTCCTCCACCATCAAGTCCATGTATCTCAAAACAAATAACTGGTTAATTAATCCCATTCCCGACCACGAGAGACAGTGGTTTGCCATATTATGAAAAAGTCGTCTTTTCGACTTTCCTAAGCCCCCCCCCCCCAGAAAATGAATGCTATTGTTATCCCATCATTTTGTTTTTATTAAGTTGGGGCAGTGTGTGGGGTACTCCTTTAGTATGTGTACCAGGTTAGGGATAGGCCATAATTTTATTCTCATTTTCCTTATTTTAGTTATATTACGAGTTCGGAGACTGCCTGTGTTAGCCAAGTGAATATACCTCTGCCCATAGGCATCAGTCTCTTTACACAACTTGATGTAAAATAGGCAGCGAACAAAATTAGTTACCTCCATATTGATACACACACTTCTGAGCGTCGTTTGTAGTTGTCTACTGTTGTTAAATCCTATGAAAATATCTCACCTAGGGTGTGATACAATGCAAGCCAGAAAAATCCGGCCCATCAAAAAATAGTGAGCCTTTAGGTACCGGTATCATTAGTTGCACCCCTAGAAATTTATTGAAAGCATGAAAATAGCGATTTTCAAAACATACCCCGCCTATGAATTTTCACCCCAACTTATCCAATAATGGAATTCTCTGTACGGGAGCTCTCGCTTTTCCTATTCTATTGTATTTGAAAAATTCTGGGTATTTATAAATTTTGGTCTTTGCCCCCCGAACTATGGGTTCAAAAATAAAACAACTTCATCTTCCAACTTATTTGAAAGTCGAAATACCAATTATTTCTGACTCCCTGTTATATTTTATCAGCAGATGGCAATATACTGCTAAAGTGATTTTGATTTGGAATTGGCTTTTTTATTCCCGAAATTATCAAAAACTTGATCTTACTTCTAAAATCCGAGAGATTCCAGCTTATTCTAACTCAAAAGCTAATTTTTTTTTTCAGGCTCCAGTTATGTTGCATCACCAGATGGCAGTAGAACTCCAGGATTATCTCGTACTCGTGATGGACTTCTCGTGACCTCAGTCGACCTTAACTCTTGTCAACAGATCGCTGATAAATGGGGATTTAGGGTAAGTAATGTTAGAAATGTCACTTGTCTGGCGTTGAGCCTTTTAGGTACTTTTTTCTAAGGACTTCCACCCTGGACAAGGCCGATCTCGACCAGGTTTTTCAATCTGGGACAAATTTTAATGTTTTAGATCAGGTTGTGCATTCAACCGTTAATACAGGAAGGCCAGAAATAAAAATCTTGGTGCTCCCGAAGTATGCGAACCAAGATGGCGGACATCGGAACGTAACATGGGTAACAGGTTAGGGTTAGGCGATAATTTTTTTCCGATTTTCCTTATTTTAGTCCTATTATCAGTTCGAAGACTAGCCAATAGCCTCCCGTAGTATTTATACCTAAAATTATGGCCTAACCCTAACCTAGTACACATATTACATTCCGATGTCCGCCATCTTGGTTCGCATACTTCGGGAGCCCCCAAATTTTAATGTTTTAGATCAGGTTGTGCATTCAACCGTAAATACAGGAAGGCCAGATAAAAAAAACTTAGTAAAACTGTGAACCGTACCTTTATTTAACATAGGCTTTCTAGCAGTTGCAGACACAAAAATTTAAAAATTAGCTGTGACCGGGACTGTGTTAAGGAATCAAAACGTTATAGGCATAGATAATAATTTGGACTCAGGAATAGGCTTTGCATGTACCAGATTGAACTAAATTGTCGACTGTCATGTTGATCGCACACCATTCAGAATTGGCACTTCTCCGCGGGGCACAAAATATTTCCTTGTGGCGCAAGTTGCACACCCCTGTTTTGGATGGTAATCTTTATCTTTTATTTAGCTTCATAATATTCATGCAAAACTAAAGAATTATCAATCATGCGAGAATATTTGTGCTTGCTAGACTCCACCCCTTTCCTTGGGTGATTTATGTGGTTACTGGTTAGTTACTCTCCCCCATCTATTCTATCATGGAACACTTATCAGGTTAGGTATGACTATGTGGAGTGCACAGGCATAATTCAGTGTGGTTTAATGTTTATCCATAACAGTGCTTTCCAAACTGTCGGTAGCGACCCCGCAGGGGGATGCACAACGTATTTTGTGGTTTGCAAAGAGTGTACCGATTTTACACATAATAATATATCTATTGACTTTTTATTTGTAACACAATTATTAAAACTAGTGCAAAACATGAATCTCTCGATTTCGAGAGAATACATAGGATTAGATAAGCAGCGGTGCTTGCATAACAATGCTGGTCGCGGAAAATTGTGAAAGGTTGCGAGCTTAAAAGTTTAGGAAGTCCTGGTTCATAATACATGAGGTGCTGCCAATTTTGAAAGGACTAAAATCTTTCTGGCTTAGCATTGCCTACCCGATTTATTACACCCAGGATAGTGTTGTTCGCGTACCATTCAAAGCAGGGGTGTGCAACAATTTTGTCAGGGGGCCATATAACCAACTTCAGACATATAGCGAGGCCACACACAAAAAAAAAGGGTGCTCCCGAAGTATGCGAACCAAGATGGCGGACATCGGAACGTAACATGGGTAACAGGTTAGGGTTAGGCGATAATTTTTTTCCAATTTTCCTTATTTTAGTCCTATTATCAGTTTGAAGACTAGCCAAAAGCCTCCCGTAGTATTTATACCTAAAATTATGGCCTAACCCTAACCTAGTACACATATTACATTCCGATGTCCGCCATCTTGGTTCGCATACTTCGGGAGCCCCAAAAAAAGTCCATATACAGAACGAATTACAGTAAAGGCATCGGGCAAAACGGCAAAATACATACCGCAGCAACAAAAGCAAAAAAAAAAATTATGCATTTTTACCCGTGTTAGCGCATTTTTAAACATAAACTGTCGGATTATTACTTTATGCTTGTTAGGGAAAAATCTGAATGTTGACGAGGGCCACACTAAATGGCCTGGCGGGCCGGGTTATGGCCCTCGCGCTGCCTGTTGCACACCCCTGGTTTAAAGTTAAGCGCAGTAACACTATAAGTCCTGCTAATTCTGCTTTAGTTGTAATTACCGCTCATCTCAATTTGTTTTCATTCTCCAGATGACTGGCAGATATGAAATGTATGCTGACTCATTGAAGAAATACGCAAGTCATGATTTCAAGCCTGACATTGTCAAAGAAAAATAGAACCAGAATCTTCCAACCATCCAAAACAAATCAGAAAGTTCGGAAACCAATAATTCAAACAAATCACAGTACAGGTTGTATCGTTATCATCAAGTCATATACCCAAAACTGTATTAGGTGTTGTTTTATTATTATTTTTATCATCGTTTTCTGGTTTGACGAAAAAATAAAATATCTCTCCCTTGTCAGTAATTGGAAATCATTGTTGAATGACTCAATTCAGAATACTCTTTGGATACAGCATCTGCCGGAATTCATATTTGGTGTGTTTCAACAATCATATATTATTATGTACATTTCATGTTCACTGTCAATTGCCAAAGTTATCACACAATTGCACCATATTTTAATTTGAATACACTTGTCATTGGTCAATTCTAGCGAGACAAAACTTTAAATATGTATGTTTCATCGTGTCTTTGCCAAATTTATTACACAGTTGCTTTTTTCATCATAGTTCAAATATACAGGGTGTCCATGACGTCGTCCCTTTACAGTTTCAATTTTGTTATGAAGTCAGTTCTCAATATATCTTAACCAGATTTGTTGTTCTTCTAATCAGTAATTGTTCAAGTATTTTTACTTCATTTAATACATCCGTGAGGGCCAAAATGGTGTCGATATATTCCCTTGCAATATTCGAAATATCAATAAACAATTCATAACACAGGAACTTTTTTTCATAATTGTTCATATGGGCATACTGGCCATTGCTCTAGTCTACTTTGGCCAACCCTGTAATATGTTTTGTATACTCTTGTGTGTCTAAATTGCCAAAATTATTACACAAATTGTGTTTTTATCTTAGAATTATTCTGACAAAATTTAAAAGTATATGTCAAGTCTCGCGCTCATTTCAAAAATAACTATCTAACACTACAAATAACAGATGTCTTCGAAAAATAAGTAAGTATGTCGGTATGTGCCGACAATTTCATCTTTTATTTGTAACAATTTTATTTTAATTTTTGTAACTAAATAATCATAATCTTGCCTGTTAGCAATGAATTTGAATGAACTGTGAAAACTAAAAGTGGCTGGTAAATCAGACTGAAATGTCAGGTTAAGTTTTCACAGAAATTCAGTTTAAATCGAAAATATGTTCTTTTGTGTATTTCATGTTTCCTCACAATCGCCAAATCCATCAGACACCTTTACATCTGAAGAAATTTGTGTTTGTGTGCTTAAGTTTCTCACACAAGCTATAATCGTTCATTTTAATTATTTCTTTTTTCATTAAATCATAACTTTCTTGTTGGCAACGAATGTTTCTTGTTTAACGAATTTTTACAGATTCAAGAAGAAATATTCACGGACTTAGAACTACACTTTAGGTATAACTGAATTTATCATTTAAGAAATGCTTGTGAATTCGCCAAAACTGAGAACTTCTGCACTCAGAAAGCCCTGAATATGTTTTCGCACCTTATTGAAACAACATGCATTTGTAGCCCGAAAACATCAAAAAACTCGTTCTTTTAGAATAGTCAATATGGCATCCGAAGAGTTAGGATTACCAGCTCACCAAAAAGTAGATATGTTGTAGATTTTATGTTTTCTCACAGTTGCTAAAGTTACCACATAATTAAATTGTAATTCAAAGAAGTCTTGCTTTGAGTAAATTTGAAACATCTATTTGTGCCGTTGTGTATTGGGATTTTTAAACAATTCATTTTGTTATAATATATATTGTTTTTTTCATTAAATCATAACTTTACGTGTTAACAATATATTTAATTTTCAAACTGCAATATCGGGTGTCGAAATGATCAAAAAACATTTAAATGGAATTTGAAATTTGTACTCCTTGATCTGTATTAAGAATTTAGTTTTTCTTATAAAATTTGCAATTTTTACTGTGTAATTGTGGCTAATGCCAAATCTGACTAAAATTTAACATATATCAGTATATGCCATGTTTTTGCAAGTAATTCTTTCGGTTCAGAATTGTTGAATACAGTGTTAGACACTCCCAGAACCAGCTTTTTGCAACTCAGACAGAATTTAAAAAAATTTGTTGCTGTCCAATACCATTGTTTTGCGATTATAACTACGGGCAATTCAAATAAATGACACTCGACACTGGTTTGAAGGAATTATCGACTCGAACCTTGAACTTGGAAAAAATCAAATTTCGATAACAACTTTAACTGTGAATCTCTTTCAGTGTTTTATCAGAATTTGGAATTAGTATTATAAAATTTCGATTAGAATATGAAATTCCGATTCTAGAGGATTCGAAACGGAATTCAGAACCCAGAGCCCAAATATAATTTCAAAATATCCGACGAATCAATTTTGATCAACAGCTTTGGTCGTAATTATGTGCTGAGATAGCATCTTGTGTCTCTGCCTGGTATTTTGACCCTATTTACTCTAACCCCAAATGGATAATTACTAATTTTTCATTTTAAAATGGTGGGTGTGTTTCTCTCAAATCTCATAATTTTGCATTACTGGCGTGAGTTTTTTACAAAATATCTGAAATTCCAACCCGAGGAATCGGAAAATGACTTTTGTCTGATTCTATTGGAATCGGTGAAAAAGTATCACAGGGCCCCAAACTGCTGTAGCATCCAGAGAGGTTGTTATTCCTTCGTCCAATTCCTTTTTCGTAATTGCTATGCACTCTTAATTGCCTTGATTAAATCTTTTAAAATGACATTTAAATTCGTTCCAAATAAATTGTGCAATTCATCAAATTGATTTCACTTTGCCATTGTCTTTTTTGAGTGCTATATTGTGATGCAATAATAATGTGCATGTGTTTTTGGTGCCTTAGAAATAAAATATAGCGAGTGTTCTTCAGTCTCTGTGTTATGCAAAGAGTATGGGTACTGACATGGCAAACTACAGCCGCAGGCCATATCCGACTGCAAACTTAATATCTCTCTTCGGCTTAAATAGATTGACGGATTGAAGTAAATAATGGGTATTTTGGAGAGCTGAGATCATCTGCTTTCATACATGAATTATTTCTTGAATGAAAAACACTGGAGCACTGACGTTTCTCCTTCATGTAATTTTGACATGCGAACAGTAAGATTGATGTAGATGACTTAGTCAGTTGATACCACTAAATTCATGAAATCTTCAAATTAAATGAATTCTTGTTCTGTCGTATTCATAATGAATTGAAAGAAAAAAAAGTTTCATTAAACACTTTTATTAAGCCATAGTAAGCAAATTGCATGTAAAACATAAAGAGTTAAAAATTAAAGAAAAATTAAACGAAGAAAGCAGATGAATTCGTCATAATAATATTCCTAAGAATGCAAAAAATAATGTGCGTTACATACAGTTCAACTTGACTATTTCGGAGAATTCGAAAGAACATTTTGTTACAGTTTTATCCCTATTCTAAAAGCATGGTAGCAGCCCTTGAAGAACAGTATGTGCGCACAATAGGGAGAGGAAACTTGATTAGACTTCTTAATCAAACCGTGTTAATTTTTTTTCGCAAAATAACACTAGCGATTATTTTGGGGGGATGTCTTATATTTTCATTTAACAAAACAAAGTAAAAAATTATGATATTTTCAAATGATATGAGAACCGATTTACTTATAAATAACATGTTTTTATTAAAAATAACTGCTAAACATGGGTTATTAATCATTTAAAACGTGTGGAAGAGATTTCTTGCTGTTGATTAGTTTAAAAAAATTCACGCCTTCGACCAGGTCTTATTTTAGGGGGAGGTCTTATATTAAAATCATTTTTCAAGTTATTAACACATCATGATGAACCATGGCCTACTTTAGAAGGCAAATTAACTGTATGAAGCTCTCAATATTAAATTTTTGATTAAATTTTTTTTTTTCAAAATAAATGTTATTTTGGGAATTTTGTTGGTGTTACAAATATAGTCGTAAGATTATCGAAGTTGTTACTCCTTCACACATCTCATATACATGATGGAACTTAGAAGTAAAAAAATGAGATATTTTTTGTAATTTGTATTTATAAATCTATAAGAAGAAATTTCAGTTAAATTAGTATAATCCTATTCCTCACAAAAAGCACTCTCTAACAATAATAGTCAATTAAAAAAAATTGAAATAAAAAATTACAATATAGAATTAAAAATTACCTTCAATGTTAGAAAAAATAAAAATTAATTACTCAAACAAAGCTAACACAATATTTCAAACGCTTAAAAGCAAGCAGAAAAAGTAAATTATAGTCTCAAAAAATAGAAAAATCTGGGAACAAATATACTTGCTTTATTATGGAATCAAAATTTGGTACTCCCGTAGTATGTGTACCAGGTCAGGGTTAGGCCAAAATTTCATTCAGATTTTCATTATTTTAGTTCTCTTACGAGATCGGGGACGGTCTGTGTAAGCCAAGTGAATATACTCTCTGCCAATAGGCTTCCGTCCCTATACCCTTTCTCTTTATTGGTACACACATTTTTGAATTTTTTATCAAAAACAATAAAAAGTTCTCTATTTTGGACTATTGGATTGAACACACTGTTGCAGTAAGAGTTAAAAATGATCTTTCCCCAACCATAGAAAAAATCTACATCTGTTAGGCTTCAAAAACACACAAAGGTTAAAAATAAATGAATAGAATAATAGCGCCCATAAAACAGAACTCACATATACTCAGTTTTCACAGGTTATGAGTGAAATCGAAGTATAAACCTCATGACTTTATTCGTTGTTAAAAGTATGTTTGTATATCCCTTAGTAAAAAATAAACCTTATGCTATTAAAGCAGTCCCAGATTGAAATAACCTCTGGTTTTGCAAGAACACCATATGGCTTAAGAAGGTTCACCTTCACCTAAAGTGTTGTAAATTAGATGGGCGATGTCGGGAGGGAAAGATTCCTCCAGTCATTATAACCAGCATTGGGATTCAAATTTTTTGTCAGCCGGTTCCATCACAAAAGTCATATTTTTCACCCGATTATGTTACAAAAAGTCATTGACAGTAACCAGTAATGCTAACCGGTTCGCTGTTCTCATAAAATTCCGTGAGACGGTTCTATAGAACCGGTGCAAACCGGCTAAATCCCACCATTGATTATAACTATGGTAGCTGTTTAAGCTACTGTGTCTACTAGCTAAAAGTACAAAATATTCATCTCTGTTATCCGGTACACTCACACTACAAGATTTGGGGCTCCCGAAGTATGCGGACCAAGATGGCGGACATCGGAATGTAATATGTGTACTAGGTTAGGGTTAGGCCATAATTTTAGGTATAAATACTACGGGAGGCTCTTGGCTAGTCTTCGAACTGATAATAGGACTAAAATAAGGAAAATTGGAAAAAAATTATCGCCTAACCCTAACCTGTTGCGTTCCGATGTCCGCCATCTTGGTTCGCATACTTCGGGAGCACCCAAGATTGAAATTTAAACTGCCCATATGGGCTCAAAATTCAGTTTTAAGACGACCCTTATTTCTACAAGAAAGAAATTTAAATTCCCCATAGACGCTCTCAAGGGGGTTCACATACAAGTCCAAAGTTCGCAATATAAGCTTGAAAAATACACAATTGAAAAAAAAAAAATAGAATGATGAAGCCTCAAAGACTTTTAAGCAGCAATTACGACAATTCTTTGACCATATTTAAAAAAAAAAAAGAGTTCAAAATCGGCTTTTGCTCACTTGAACTTCCCATACATGCAAAACCATTTTTGAAAGTTGACAAAATTTTATAACTACTGAAGCGTTAAAAATATTATGAAGAATACCTAATGGAACTTCATCAAGTTTAAAGTTTCGACTTTGCGTAGCGAAGAATTTTCAAAGGAGGGAGAATCCTGAAGAGTCTAAAATATGTTTAAAACTTCGAATGTGTATGAGACAGATAACTGTTTTATTTTACATTCCAAAAGGGAGGATTCAGACTCTCAAATTCCCCACCCCTGGCCACAACCCTAACATAGAAATAATCAAATAAGTAAACGAATCACACGCAGGAACCGTAGGAAAGGAGTAGGGGGGCAAAGAGCAGCTCTCATAGAAGATTAGTTACCTTTAGTACAAAGCCTTGGTAAAGCGAATGTGTGACAACGTCTGAAAAAATTTAATTTCAAAAAAGAGGAATTTTTACTGTCCCAGTTCAGAAAATAGTTTATAATTAAGATATAAAAAGCAGGCAATCATGATCAGAATTCCAATGGTTAAATAAATAATTGACTGGATGGACAAATAGTATCGTCTTTCACATCAGTGACAGATGCTAGGCAGAAGTGTTGATCTACGCTTATCCATAAAAAAAAATTGGGGCTCCCGAAGTATGCGAACCAAGATGGCGGACATCGGAATGTAATATGTGTACTAGGTTAGGGTTAGGCCATAATTTTAGGTATAAATACTACAGGAGGCTCTTGGCTAGTCTTCGAACTGATAATAGGACTAAAATAAGAAAAATTGGAAAAAAATTATCGCCTAACCCTAACCTGTTACCCATGTTACGTTCCGATGACCGCCATCTTGGTTCGCATACTTCGGGAGCACCAAAAAATTTATATGCAAAAAGAAAATTTTTTTTCTGTTTTGATTCATATAAAAAAACAGGCACTGCACTCTTGATTATCAAAATTCTGGTTGATCAAAATAAAAATTTAGAACGGAAAATAGAACTTCAGAATGGAAGGGCAAATAAATGTATATCCGTCAAATTTAGCACTCGAATAAATATGGAACAAGGTTTTCCAGGAATTTTTATCAATTTCTGGAGTATAAGCACCTTTACGGAACATTTTAGGTATTTATGGATGAATTTTTGAATGTGCAAATTACAAATAAAAAGAATCAGCTGAGCTAGATAATAAGCTTTATAACAACCTTGTATTGAATTTACGGTGCTCCAGAAGTATGCACACCAAGATGTCGCACAACCTGAATCCTAACTGGTACACACATACTAGGTTCAGGTTGTGCGCCATCTTCTTGAGGTCCGAATTAACATATGAAAATGGTGAATAAGGAAACTGCATTTAAAAAAGATTTTCAACACTCAAGAACTTCAGTTTTGTGGTTTTCACTACCTTATGTTCTGTTTTACTGGACTTGAACTCAGGGTCGTGGAGGGTGAAGACAGTCGAATCAAACAACAAACCATGGCCCTTCGTTGAGTTACTACACATGATCATAAGCAGTTAGTGATTTAGACTTGAGATTTTTTAAACTCATCTTCCCTTAAGCGGAAAGGAAACCCCATAAGCTCAATTACGTAGTCTAGCATCTAGTTCAGGGTGGTCCGAGATTGGCAGCTCCGCGGGCCACAAAATTATTTTTGCATTGTTCGCTGGCCACAATAGTGCCAAGAGCTTTGCTCATTGCCTCAGCAAGCCATAACACTAGTTAATTCAGTGACATTAGTGATGCAACAATATGTCAAAAGATTTTTTTTGTTAATTTTATAACAAAACAACACGAAATGCGATTTTATGATTCCTCTCCGAATGCGACGCAGGCCACAGATAATGAAGTGGCGGGCCACAGATAATGAAGTGGCGGGCCACAGATAATGAAGTGGCGGGCCACAGATAATGAAGTGCCGGGCCACAGATAATGAAGTGGCGGGCCACAGATAATGAAGTGGCGGGCCACAGATAATGAAGTGGCGGGCCACAGATAATGAAGTGGCGGGCCACAGATAATGAAGTGGCGGGCCACAGATAATGAAGTGGCGGGCCACAGATAATGAAGTGGCGGGCCACAGATAATGAAGTGGCGGGCCACAGATAATGAAGTGGTGGGCCACATGTGGCCCGTGGGCCTGGGTTTGGACCACCCTAGTCTAGTTATCAAATATGGGAATTGTCCCAGATGCATACGGACATTTTGAGTCTCCTGAAGTACGTGCCCTCAAGTACTTCTAGTGGTAACGATTTTAATAATATAATATTCCTTAACCCCTACTTGAGATTTTTTGAGGAAAGTCGATAATTACATAGTCTAGCATGGGGGTGAGCAAGGTTTTTGGAGAAGGGGCCAAAAATTTTGCCCATCCTGACTGGCGGGCCATGTAAGTGTGACGTGAAAATTTACATTTTATGAAGAGTGTTACAAAAGCGAAAGTGGAAACAATAAGCCTCGTGCCAAAACTAAATTTAATCGCTATCTCAACAAATTCCTTGAGCTATTTTTTTAGTTAAAACATCAAAATTTGGTTTAAGTTTGGATGTGGCAATTAGCGAAACCGATTTGAGATTTTAATTACAACATCTATGTAGTACATGCAGAACTGGTTAAAAGCAGGAATTTATAGCAGCATTAGGTGGGCACACCCAAAGGGCCGAATTTGGCCAGCGAGTCATATTTTGTCCATTTCAGGTCAAGTATCTATTTACCAGTCCAAATGTGGGAATTGTTCCAGATGCGTACGGACATTTTTTAATTAAGGACGGATTTGAGTTGACGGAAACATAAAATATCGAAAAATACAAAATTCATGAGTCTGAGTTTAAGTGCATTGCTCTTTTTGAGGAGGAAAATAGTTGTAAACGTTCAAATTTCAAATCAAAATAACGTTTTTTGAGCCGTTTTTTCGTTGTTGATTCTGGTGCATAAAATGGTGTATATTGAATGAGGCACAGTGAATATTTCTTTCGACTTTGCGTTTCAATTTTTTTGTCTTGGTTGAAATTTATAGCAGCAAAAATTTGAAGTCTTCATGGTAGTAAAATCTGGACTCCTGTAAATAATGAAAATAAAATAGGAATCAGAATTTAGAACTAAACTTAACTACAACTGCAACAACTGACCTAGTGCAGGCTAGGGATGAGCAATATAGAATACTGAATCCGGAGGATTCGAATCCCAAAGTATTCGAATCCAACAGGATCCGATAACAGGATTCGGTTTCCGCCTCTCCGTCGCCATGCACAATTTTTGAATTTCGGGTTTCTAATTTATCAATTAAAGGCACGTTTTTTCGCGCGTGAAAATCTCTCTCCTTTATTTAAACTTGCGTTTGCTCGCAAAGAACCTGTGAACTCGGTAAACATGGCAATCTTGATTGCCGTATTCTGGACAAGAAGTCGGCGAAGTACACCTCACAGCGAAGACTTGTTATTGCACCATTTTTGCGTTTTCGCCATGCGTCAATTTTTGTATTTCGGGTTTGTAATTTATCAATTAAAGGCGAGCGTTTAATTAAAATTAAACAATCTTGATTAGCTAATAATCATTAGTCGGCCGAGGAAGTGCACGTTTAAGGATGCAGAAATATAATTACTGGAAAGACCGAACCCAAGTATTTTTGTAATTTTGTTTGCGGATCTTTGGTAAAAATAGTCGAGTAGCCCTGACCTAGTGCACGGATCAGCAACCTTTAGCCTTGAAAGAGCCGATTGTCACCATTTCCATCAAACTCAAACCCACTCGAAGCTGCAAAATCTACTCCAATGCTATTAAAACTCTCCGAAAACCATGTATGATGCAATAATCTAGTTCGTAATAACAAGAAGCTTAACGAGAAAAATTACAAAAGATGCAATAATTCAGTTTGCAACAAAATGAAAACAACTTGGAAAATAAAAATAAAAAGTTTGTCTTGACAGATTTGAAACACTTCCATGCAAACTATTTTAACTCCTGTAAAAATCACATTTTGGTAACAAAAACTTTGGCAAAGCGAGCCTTCCTCAAGAGACTGTTACAACACTACGGCAAATTTAGTTTTTCTTCGTCGAGTTTCTCTGGTAAAATTTGGAATTCAATTATTACCATGAAAAGTATGAAATTATGACTCAAGGGAAAAAATGCATGTGACCTTCGACCCTTACCTCACCTCAACTAATAGAAGGATTACTTCCTTCTGGAACTTCCTCATTATTGATCAATCCCGCGGTTCCTTCTTCTTCATCTTCTAAGTAATTACTGACATCACCAGAACTGGTTCCTGGACTTGGATCTGTTAATCCTGGAAAGAAAATGTTTGTTGGATAGGTTTTACATATTTATCTCTGGGAAGAGGAAAGCTGATAAGACGGTTTAATCATATGGCGAACCACCGCCTCTCGTTCGGTTACCAGTCCAGGTCGTGTATGGGTTTAGTTAGTCAGTTATTTGTTTTCGGAAGCATGGACTTCATGGTCAGATGAAAAATCAGAAGAACAATTAATTTTCATTTTCACAATTTAATCTTCTCTTATTTGTATTATTGCAATAATTAAACAAATAACGACATTGTGATATGATAGGATTTGTAAAGTGATAGGAATATACATCTAGTGACCATTTAAGTTAACTCATTTGTGATAATAACCTGACTTTTTTGAGATGAAGAAGGCAAATTAGCATTTGTTTATTAATCTTATCGTACTATTATCTACTCTTATCTGTAATGATATAGAACTGCTGACTACAGGATTTGTAAGGTGATAGAGAGAGACATCTAGTGAACATAAAATAATAATTTTTCGACCCAGTTGCAATACTAAAATCAGCATTTTTATTCTAATCATTTTATCTGCACTCATCTATATTGATAAGGAGATACTGCATACATTAATTACGATTTGTAAATTGATCAAGAGAGACATCTAGCAATCATAAAATTATGAATTTTAGACATAATTACAATATTGATCTGATTTACATTTAAAGAGGTGACGAGGGCAAATTAGTATTTTTATTCTAATCATTTTATCAGCCCTTATCTATAATGATAAGGAGTTACTGATTAAATTAATTACGATTTATAAATTGATTGAGAGAGACATCTAGCAATCATAAAATTATGAATTTGACTCAATTGCAATATTGATCTGATTTACATTTAAGAGGTGGCGGGGGCAAATTAGTATTTTTATTCTGATCATTTTATCAGCCCTTATCTATATTGATAAGGAGTTACTGCTTACATTAATTACGATTTGTAAATTGATCAAGAGAGACATCTAGCAATCATAAAATTATGAATTTTCGACTTAATTACAATATTGATCTGATTTACATTTAAAGAGGTGACGAGGGCAAATTAGTATTTTCATTTTAATCATTTTATCAGCCCTTATCTATAATGATAAGGAGCTATTGATTACTTTCATTAGGATTTGTTGATTACTAGAAAGACATAACTCATCGTAAAATTAATATATAAAGTTATAAATTATAATATAAAGTTAATATTTTTTTGTTTATCTGAGCTGAAGAGGACAAATTAGCATTTTTTATTCTGATCATTTCATCTGCTCTTATCTATTTTGATAAGGATCAACTGATTACATTAATTAAGATTTGTTGATTATGAGATAAAATTAATATTTTCAACTCATTCGGAATATTAACCTGAGCTTTCACTAATGCTGGACTTGCTTTTTTTATCTGGAATAAATATTAGTTTGTGGTTATATTCAATAATTGGGGAATATATAAGAGAAAGATTTACATATTAATCCTGAGGAGAGGAAAGCCGATAAGACGACTTAATCATATGGAGAACCACGGCCCCTCGTCCGGTTACCAGTCCATGTCGGGTATGGGATTAGTTAGCCAGTTATCAGTTTTCGGAAGCATGGACTTGATGGTGGAGGAAGCCGTAACCAACCTGGAGTTATATGTACCACCTACAAGAGTCCAGCAATCCTCTCGCATATAACCATCCCCGCACAGAATTCGAACCTGCAAATCCACAGATCAGAGGTTCGTTGGCGAGCGTATTCCTAACGCTTAGCACGATGCGCCACACCACCGAGCCATTACACAATCCCTCCGAAAAAGTCTCTGAGCCAGGCTGTGGGAGCAAGTTTTTCAGCCTGGGATCAATGGGATGTAAAAGTGTTTAAAAACTACTGATTTCTAAGCAAAAAATGGCAAATTTTGTATGAAAAACATCAATTCTGATCATTTTAAATACACTTTTTTTCTCAATATCGTTAATCTAGAACCTTTTTCAACCAAATTCATTAGAAAGCGCAACTATAATCCTAAAGTTTAGCGAGATGCGGCAACTGCCAAGTTAAGAGTTGAATTGCACTATAAGGCAATCAAAATTTGCTTCCCCCGCCCCCAATTTTAGGTCTAATTATGGCTATCAGCATCATTCCAAAATTCATAAGACACAAAAATACATAACACCACAAAAATTGAACAATTTTTCAGCTTGAAGACTTACCGATTATAGAAGAGTTGGTTGAAGCCACAGATCCGGTTACTTTTCTATAGATTGGATTGTTAAAGTTCATGCTCCTACGAGCAGAATGCTTCTTTCTCAATTTTATGACACACCAGGTTATGGTTACAATAAACCCAAGAAGTGCTGAAAAATATATTACTGTATGAATACTGAGGAGTTAACCTTTTTGGTGGAGATGGATGTGGCAATTTATATAATTTGTGTCTTAACTTTCTCTGTTCACTGGCAACAGTAATTTATCTGAGTCAAACTTGGCATGCTTTATCTGAGTCACGTTTTGTTGGTGCTTTGTCATTTCATTTCATTTGTGTACTGCTTTAAAATGCTGCTAATGTTCAAGTTAATTGAAACCTAGTATTTGTGGATATCCATGGATTAGTTTATAAAGTAATAAACTAAACTTAGGTTACGACAAGGAACCGCGATGAAATATTCCAGAGGCTAAGAGAAGCCCTGTGCAGAAAGATGACTGCACAAATAGTGGAAACGGAACCTCAATGGTGGAGCGGAACATCAAGAAAACATTTTCAGAGGCTTGAGAAACTTATGTTGATTGTCTTGACTGTATAAACATACAGTGATACAGGGTGTCCATAAATTCCCTTTGCAATTTCAATTTTGTTATGTCAGTTCTCAATATATTATCTTAACCAGTTTTTTTTATTATTTTATCAGGAATTGTTCAAGTATTTTTACTTCTGTGAGCGCCAAAATAAGATAATGTATCAATAAATTCCTTTTTAAGACTTCATGGACACCCTATACATATAAGTAATGACAAAATGATCTGAATGAACATAAAACAAACTTACCTATAATACCAATTATAAGCACAATCTTTGTCCCTGATGACATTCCTTGACTGTTGCCAGAATATTGTCCTGTGACTGCCCCGGTTGTGACCGAAGTAGTCGTCTGTTTAGTTGAGGTGGTCAAAGTTGTTAGAGTGCTTTGTGAAAGAGGGACATTTGAGGGGGAGGTGGCTGGAAAAAAAATTGGAATGAGAATATTTTGGTTTTAATGGACAATAAAGGGACCTCCCGAAGTGTGTGCACCAAGATGACGCACAACCTGAACATAGTATGTGTACCAGGTTAGGGTTCAGATTATGCCACATCTTGGCGCACATACTTCAGGAGCCCCCAATAAAGAAAATTGAGGAACTAAATATTCAAAGTAAATATTTTATCTCTAAGGAATTATACGCTTCTCTAAGTTCTGAAGTGATTTAAAATTTTCAACCAAATCAGTTTGAGGTGAGGTTGAGTGAATTTTCTCTCATACCATGCCATACAAGTAGAGAAGTTTTATAACATGAAAAAAACAAAATAAACGATACTCCAGAAGTATGTGCACCAAGATTGCAGACACAGAAACGTCGTATGTGTACCAGGTTAGGGTTAGGCCATAATTTCGGGTACAAATACTACGGGAGTCATTTGGCTGTTCCCCAAACTCATAATAGAACCAAAAAATGGAATAAAATTATGAGCTAACCCTAACCTGGCATGTTCCAGTGTCCGCCATCTTGGTTGACATACTACGGCCGAAACTTACACTTCAGATCAAAAGTTTTCTAATAAACATAATATTCACAGCAACAAATACAAGCCATGCAAAATGAAGCTAAAATAAAATTAAGAATTTGAAATCGAGGATGTCCATGTAAAATGATGATTTTTATAGGTTTTGAAACTTTGACTTTTTGGTATCAAGGTTATCGAACAATTTTCCAAACCGTCACTCTGTTTGAGTGACTACTGATACACAAGCGGATACTATGTATAAAAAAGACCAGAACCCTGTCAGTTTGCCTCTCCAAAGTCGCACGATTTATAGCGTCTTGGAAGTAGTGAGTGTTTTAACTTTCATTATTGTATTTCTGGTAACTAGCATTTTCCCAGATGGCTGAGCATGACCTGTGATCTTGGAAGTAGTGAGTGTTTTAACTTTCATTATTGTATTTCTGGTAACTAGTATTTCCCAGATGGCTGAGCATGACCTGTGATGTTGTCCGTCACAGATGACATCATAAAGGTGAAGTAGCCATTTGTTCTCTGGAATTGAGTTATCATGGCGTGTTTTGGAGGTTACTTTGGTTATGCTCGAAAACATCTTCTAATTATACGTTTATACTGAGTGAGAACATGACGCTTGAACACAATCAAATCAAACCAGGGTTGAACAAAAAATTGTTTGACGATATGTGAATTTTGAAGTTCAACAAGTAAATATATATCAATGACTGCGTGTAAAGCGTGAATGAAGGTTGTATGTAAAAAAATGAATCAATTTTTTTCTTTTTTCGAACAATCATTCACGGACATCCCCTGAAATCAAGCAACAAATTATGCAATCAAAATCAAAAGTGTGAAAGTCATTCTCTTACTTATTTTTGATTGTCGGGAATTCATTCGTTGAACAGGATCAATTACTGCCAGAATTAAAAATCAAATCAATTCCCACCGGAAAATAATAGTAACAACCAAAAAACGAAAAATGATTTTCGACCTCATTTATTGAATAAAATGACATCGGTATGTTCTTGCTAGTTTATGAATAAAAAGAAAAACGTCAAATGCAGATAACCAAATGACAATGGTTAAAACAGGCATCGACTACATATCATGAATTTCAATGGCAGGATTATTAACTTTGTAAAATCCATAAAAATTCAAAAAGTCCAAGAACATGAAGATTTAGGACCAAAATTTGATTCAAAAATATATTTTGGAAATAATTTTCAAATACTATATTAGACAAAAATCAGGCACTAAGCCTATTGGGTTACAAACTACCAGAAAATATCAAGAGAGTAAAATCCCTACAAAATTAACCGTACATTATAATCATATAAGCAAGTCACATACAAATTGAACAATTTGGATTATCGAACCATCCCACAAAAAAAGCCAAGAAGCTAATAATATTTTCTATTGGAGAAAAAATAGATAAGATGGAGAGACATTAGTGCATATATGTTGCTACTAAAATAATTTATATCTTGTAATATTCAAACATTACAAGAATCAAAATAAAACCACGATTTTATCTAATATGATTAAGTGAACACTCAAATTATCTGTGTGTAACTGCAAATCAACGGGCTACATGATGCAATGGGTTAATGCATACAAGCCATTAATACAGCATGCAGTAGATTAATGTTAGCAAAAATAACAAAAAAATAAATAGTTAATTTAAGTAACTTTACGAGGGTACTATGATAGTTCCGTATGCAAAATAAGAGGTACGCAGTATGTGGACCAAGATGGTGGACACTGGAACGTAGCATGTGTACCTGGTTAGGGTTAGGTCATAATTTCAGATACAAATACTGTGGGAGTCACTTGGCTAGTCCCAGAATTCGTAATAGAACTAAAATAAAGAAAATTGGAATGAAATTATGGCTTAACCCTAACATGGTACCGAGAGTAACGGGATAGGGGTATTCCAATTTTCCTTATTTTAGTTCTATTACGAGTTCGGGAACTAGCCAAGTGACTCCCAAAGTATTTGTGCTATCATTTATGGCCTAACCCTAACCTGGTGCCCATACTACGTTCCGGTGTCCACCATCTTGGCTCACATACTTCAGGAGTACCCATTTGTTTTACTTGCACAGACTCGATGATTGGGGGGGGGGGAAGCGCAACCAACCAGAGGTTACCTCAACCATACTTTCTCATATAATTATCCTCCACAAGATTCGACCTGTGAACCCATGCAAGGTAATCGAAGGTGTAAAGGCAGGTGTATCCCCCCGCCGCCCACATATTAACCCACTTACTTGGTTTGCAGTCATTTGAATCGTCTTCCACTGGAACATAAGAATCCGGGCACGAGCAAGTGTAATTACGAGGGTCGGAAGAGTCATAAGCTTCAGGTAAGCAGAGATACTTGCACTCAGAATTCAGGCAGTAATTTGTACCTGGGATAAAAATATATCACATATTAAAATATTGTGAATACTCTTATTGATGTGTAAAGCAAACTAGGTCATAGCTCATACGCCCATTCCAAGCCCTGAATGGTTGGTGATGAACCGAATAATATCATATAATACAATCTTATATAACACAATCAGAATAGATATATATTGGGTTGCACAGCACCCATGATGCAATCATCAGAAGCAAGCATAAGCAGATGCAAAATCAATTCGTAAAAGAACTAAAATGAGGAAAATTGGAATAAAATAATGTCCTAACCCTAACCTGCTACACACACTATGTTCCAGTGTCCGCCATCTTGGTTCACATACTACAAGAGTACCAAAATTACAGCTGTTTTTTTGTACAATTTACTTATTTTGAAGGTTTATCGGTTCATAAAACTACTTTTGAAACTTCCCCGCAAGTTAAAAAAGGTTGAGAACCATTGGTGTAAATTATCCAGACAACGCAACCCAGCATATGCAGGGACAAGAATATTTTCTATTCGAAATAAAGGAATTCACACAAACCTGGTGGCTGAGCTCCTGCGTTCAGTACAGCCATGTCCATTCTCGTATAAATGTCGTTGTTCACGACCCGCACTTGACTTCCACTTCGACTGGAGGAGAATAAATAGTGTCGCTCCTTGTCTATCCAGTATACTAAATAAAACAAGAGAGCTATGCTCAAATATATGGACACGTAGCGCCACCCAGTGGCAATAATTTTGATGACGTCATAGCGAAAAAAAAAGTAATAGCCTTCTGGAGAAAAATTTTATCTTTAACCACTGAAAATATCAAAGCAATTGGTCCAGTATTCGAAGAGAAAAGCGATTTTTTAAAAATGGAGACGGAGACAAAGGAGACAAATAACAATAACAACAAAATTTTGAAACGATCGTTATGGCCACTAAACGTGTCCAATAAAAATAAAATTATGAAAATGATGGATTCGCATGGAGCAAAAAATACAGTAATTTTATTTTGGATTCACTTTAGCATTTCATAATTTGGAGCAGATGCTGTACTGCCAGCTTTTAATATACAAAAGATAAAATTTATCGTGTCTCGAGGATTCTTTACTTTAAGGCCTTAAATGTCCCTTTTTAAGGACAAATACAAAAAGCCTCAGCATAAAAGTACCCTCGTTTTAAGGACTTCCCACCTCAAAGGTCTAACCCATCCCCCTTTCCAGGGACAAATACAAAAATATCAATCAATGAATATGACATTACTTCTTCCATTGAATACAGCAAGAGATAATGGAGAATAGGCTTCATCGTAGATCAGATTTTGTCTGTATTCACCATCCAGTCGGCTTCCCGCTAATAATTCGAGTACAGGATCAGTCCAATATACGATATCTTGATCATAATCTGTAAACAGTAAAAACGAGGATATCGGTCAGAGACCGAAGACTTATCCATCGAAAGTTAGGGGATCCCCCAAAACAGCGCTCTTACTCCATAGTGACACCTTGTGTCTCATCACTAATTAATTGATAACTCGCTAATTATACGACATAATTCGCCCAAAATCAATAGGCTTCTGGTACGAGATAGGATGAATGCACATGCGGAATCTGCAGCAAATCCAATCTCGCTTTCGTGAGATATCGCGTGCATCTAACAGACAGATAAACACACAGACAGACAAATGCCTATCAACATACTTACCGATTAAAATCGATAAGTAATTACTAAAAAAAGCAAAAATTTTAAAACTCGAGTAGTGTTCTGCCTAGTTAAAATTAACATACAAGTCTCGTAAAAGTGGGGAAATTTTTAAATTCGGGAAAATATGAAAAGTCAGTCTAATATAGGATATCTTGATCATAATCTGTAAAATTTTGGGATCGTTGTTAAGTAACTGAGTGCTTTAATCCAGAAGTGCAAAACTTAAAAATTAAATGTTTTGGTACAGTGAGGAAAACATCTAACTTTTTTATTATTAATATACTTCGGGTGAATGTGATGTCTTTGATAACAAAATCATCGCAAGCACATTTTTCTTCATAATATTTTTTACAAAATTATTTTGGATTGATACAATAGACATGAAAGTTTTTAAATTGAGCAGGTCATTACGTATCAGTAGCTATCTGTAAAAAGCCATGTTCCAAGTGAAAGGTGCGAAATTAGCAGGGAAAAAGGGAGGTTGCAGTTGAGTTGCAATCTCGTATTCTGCCTTGATTTACCTCGTTACAATTAACAAACAGGAAGTCTTGTAAAGCTAGGGTTAGTGTAATTTACAAGAGAGAAATTTTGAAATCTGAGGGAGGGTGAAAATTGCTAAGCACCCACTACCTACCAATAGCAATGTCATATACTGCCTTGACCTGCCTCGTTACAATTGACACACAAGAAGTCTTGTTCCCATTCATTCCACATCTACGTATCACGCCTTCACCTTTCCCTGAGTTTAAGATGCATCCCATGTATATATACCTAGGTAAAAAATATCATTCAGTTAAAGCTGGCAGTGTTAATTTATAAGCAAAAATAAAATCATAAAAGTAAAAAGGTAATAGAGAACGAACTGTATAGAAAATAACTGCTGGTTGACAGCTAACTATTATATAATTCTGCAACGCAACAACGATTCACCAATTTGATTATCTCCAAACGTAATATACTAATATGGAATTATGCAATAGCTATATAAACCAATATCTCTATTAATGATTTAAGTATTTTTGTGTTTATTGCTTCTCGATTTTAGCCTGAAATCTTTATCAAGAACTTTGATATTTGAAAAATTACTCATCATAAGGATAAAAAATTCAAATCAACATCAACTCGAAAAATAAAACACAATTTCCGATCTTAATTCTCCATCATTGGCGGATAGATTTGGTAATCAAATTCGCTCATTCTGTCGATGATCGCGTAATAACATTTGCGTTTTTCTGCATTAATGAACGATTTCGTGATCAAAATAAACATTGAAGCCCATGGTGTTAAACTGACTATTATCATATAATACAACCTTATATTACACAATCAGAATAGATACACAGCACCCATGCTGCAATCATCATATGCAAGAACAAGCAGATAAAAAATCATCGAATCGTAAAACAATAACAATGAAAGAAGTTAACAGGCAGTGTTGCCAGAAATAGATAAAATGAAATAGTACAAATAATACAATATCAACACATGGTAGCTGCCCTGTCAGATGCCCAGCAACTATCTGCCATCCCATCGGCCTGTTTGTTTCATGTTGACGCATACTTTTTAGTTTATTAACGCCTTGCTTTGTTGTAAATTGCAGTTTTGATGCACTTATTTAATTTCTCCCTACCCCCCCTCAATAGCTCGAACACTGGTTCGATCAAATCGCCGAGGTCTGATTTTCTTGATACCATATTGTGTCGAATATTCCATCATTTTGAGTGCGCCACAAAATGGCAATTCATTACCCGAAAAATACCTTATCTGTATGCGTTTAGTACTAGACATAAAAAAGTTAAATTTTTATTCTTATGTATCATGATTTGTATTTTGAGGAACCTCTGTTTTAGGTCAAAAAAAGATTGATTAGAAAAGATTGATTTTATAAAAAATTTATAAAATGTTCACTCACCCATACTTAGGATGGACAGCAAATCCGGCCACTATCGTATTAGGAAACCTATACAAAGTTTTAGACATCGTTCCGTCTAATTTTGACACAGATATTGATTCTCTGTCAGAATCGACCCAAAATAATAGCTCATGAACCCAATCGAGGGCAATACGACCAGGAGATTTGATTGTCGGAGAACGGACCAATATTTCTGGCTTCGGTGGCGATGCTTTCAAGCTATCTAATGTCGATATTTTATACCTGAAACAAAAAAAATTTGCAGTGATGTACCTCCGATATCTCGAATTAATACTTGGGCGACCATACTAGAGATAAGATCTGAAGCCCGACCCAAAATTTGGAGCGGGTCAGGCCTGAAATGTCAATCATTACGTTCGGGTCAGGCATCTCTATGGCTCACTTTTTTTTAAAATGAGGCGTTTCGGCCGTGTTTTGGCCATGAGAGACCGTGGTATGCAAAAAAAAACAGAAGTTACCTCATCAACACGATACATACTGTACTAAACTCTTGCAACCGCAATTCAATGAACTCCTAAATAAAATTCGGGTTTGCTGCGAATCCAGTTAATTAGTCGGCCTCGGGCCGGGTTTAATACCCACGGGCCAGGGTCGGGCCAAAATTTTTGGGCCCGATCTTACCTCTAGTCCATACAACTTTGAATAAAAATTCAGGGGTTCACAGCAACAAAAAAAGTTAGGAAGCCTTGCCATATACAAACATTCCAGTGATCTTTACAAGCGGGACGCACTCACAAAGAATAAACAGTTCCATTACATTTGAACCCACAACAATTGCACCTGCACACTATTGCACCTATGAATATTTGAACCCATACTAACCCTAACCCATCGATTTTAGCACTCGCATATAGATTGAACCCGCGCATATATGGGTTAAAAAATGTACGGCCACCAGAATAAACCCACCTTGAAATGGCCTCATTCTTGGGATCCGACCAGTAAACAAAGCCATTTCTAATATCGAGGGCTAAAAAACGAACAGCAACAGCAGGGATATTAGGAACAACAACTTTATGACCTCGATGCCTGAAAAAAAAAATAAAATTTAAGAGAGGACATGGACTCAATATTACTAAGAATTTGGCGTTACCGAAGTATGTGCACCAAGATGGCGCACGACCTGATAACCCTAACCTGGTATAAATACTATCTTCAGGTTGTGCGCCCTCTTGGTGCACATACTTTGGGAGCACCCAACAGTGTTAGCAAAACGATTTAATTTGCCTGATGTTAGAAATCCAACTGACGACAATAGAAATTTAAAACAACAGCAAATTAAATCGCTTCGCTAACACCGGTTGTGTTTATTTATCATCGACATCAAGTTAATTTGAGCTGGAAGCTCTATTTTGTTTTGTGAGTTTTTGTAATAATTTTTGTTGCGGTTATTATTCTAAACCAGTGGTCTCAACCTTTTTTTCCTTTGTGGCCCATTTTCATTGCACAAAAATTTTCGTGGCCCATTGAATTTTTTCTGCGAGGGTAAAATAAATCAAAAATCAAAATCTTTCTGTGAAAATGGATACTTTCCCTTCAATAATTAGAATCAAAATTACCATTCAGTAGCAGAAAACAGCATCATTAATCATTGGTACTACAATCAAAATTATAAATAGTGATACAAATAAAACTAGCGATTTTTTAACAGTCCTGTGGCCCACTTCAAAATCTTTCCGTGTCCTAGTAGTGGGATAATAATATGCAAGAGGATTGCCGGGTTACTCGATGTCGTAGGGTGGTTCACTCGGTTAAGCTACCTCCGCTATCGTTCATGCATCCATACCTGACATGAGCTGGTAGCCAAATGTGGACATGGGATTGGTTAGTATGAATTTGAAACGGGGGTTGTGATAATTTGGGTAGACAATGACGAAACGAAATAATTTGAGTCCTTCAAAACTGGAGCAACACTTTACAATTCAGTGGCTGCTTGTGAAATGAATGTGAAAACGCTGCATTGAAAATTTTTTAGATAACAAGAAAGCTATGACCAAATATATAACCACGTAGCGCCCCTTCAAATTTTTATGACAACATAGCACACCAAAAACAAGAATCCCATACAGCTAACCGGAATATTTGAAATAAATAAAAGAAATAGCCTTCTAGCGAAAAATATAATCATTACTTACTGAATATTTCAACATAAATGGTCCAGTAATCAATGAGAAAAGCGATTTTTTCATAATGATACCAAGAAGAATACCAATAAGAACAAGAACAATAATAATGCAAAACAATCGTTATGTCCACTAACATGTCCAATAATAAATCTCTTCATACCAATCTAAAGTAATTTTCCTTATATCTTCTATCCCACTAACAATAAACGAGACGTCATGTTTTTCATCATTAGGTTTACATTCACCATTAGGCAAAAGAGTGAAGCCTTCATAGCAAGAACATTTGTGCGAGCCATTTGTGTTAAAACAAAATTCCTGACAGGGATTCGAAATACCTCGAATGCATTCATCGATATCTGTAAAAATAAATATGGTAATTTTTACCAAAAAAAAAACTCCAGTAGGTGTGTGTACCAGGTTAGGTTTAGGCAATAATTTTTCATAATAATTTTTAATAATAATAATTCAAATTTTGATGAGGCGTCCACCAGGCAGCAACCCAAATTTGTTGGGAGGTGGTATATATTCTGCTATTAATGGTAAACCTATTTGCAACTTATATAAATGTGTTTTGTATTTGACTGATTATTTTCACTGGCATTTAAGTCACTTTCTGAGTATTCAGATACAATTTAATTTACGTTGAGAATTAAAGTATCGGGTCACACCTGAAAATTAGGGGGTGTTTGAAATTTTAGAGAGAGGGGGGGTTGTTCAGGGGGGATGTAGGGAAATCATTTGTGAATACAAACCTTCACAAGTGTGCTTGTCTTTTGCCAATTTGTATCCTTTTCTACATTCACATTTAAAACCAACTCTCATATCAATGCATATGTGTGAGCAATTGGAATAAGTGGCATCGGTGCATTCATTATAATCTGAAAATAGAACAGAATAAAATAGCGTTGGAATCGCCCATGTCAAGACCACTCAACTATTTTTACCACAGATCTGTGAACAAAACTTAAAAACTACAGAGGTCCAGTCTTCCAAGCGGTATAGCAATACAATTTGTATCATATAAAGCCAGGTGCAAATATTAACAAATTAGAAAACGAGAATATTGATCAGAGACCGAAGATTTATCGATCGAAAGTTAGGGGATCCCCCAAAACAGCGCTCTTACTCCATAGTGACACCTTGTGTCCCATCACTAATTATTTAATAACATGTTAATTATACGACATATTTCATCCAAAATCAATAGGCTTCTGGTCCGGTATATGATGAATGCACATGCAAAATTTGGAGCAGATTCAATCTCGCTTTCGTGAGATATGGCGTGCATCTAACAGACATACACACAGACAGACAAATACCGCACATTAAAATCGATAAGTAATAACTTTCAAAACTATAAAAATCTTCCGATAAAAAGAAACATTCACATGTTCAAGTAGTGATCAGGAATAAAGAATGAGTTGCAATCTGAATCGAGCACTCAGAAATCCGGATTCAGACAGTAGCCCTGGCCTCTATGCCTGTTGCTCAAACTTAGCTCTCGCTACTAAGCCCCCCGTTTCCCATATGGGGGCCACGTTCCACAGAATTCCGGTTCTCCAGAAAAACCGGGCTTCCACTGGCTACATCAATTTTCAATTTCTACATTAATGCTTGCACACAAACTTTGGTGCTCCAGAATTATGAAGTATGCGCACCAAGATGTCGCAAAACCTGAACCCTAACCTGGTACACATCCTGAGTTTAGGTTGTGCGCCATCCTGGTGCGCATACTTCAGGAGGTCCAAAATTCTTATCTATTCGTAAACATTTGGTTACACATATTATTATACGCCTTCACTTTAATAAATGTCTAACTAAAATCCATTTCTCTTAAATAAATTCAAGAATCCAAAACTCAAAGAACTTACTGCAAAAGTGCGGGCCTTGTTTTTCGTCTTCTCCCCCAGGACAATCCTTAATAGAGTCACACAACCTTTTAGCAGGAATACATTTGCCAGCGTCCCCTGGACATCTATAATGTGTCTCAAGTGGACAAGATTGTGGCGACTTTGCTGGCTTTTTACCTGGAAAAGGAGCTTACATAGTTCATGTCAACAGACAAATTGACTACATTAAATTAAGTATATTAGCTAGATTTTTATTTAAGAATTCTTTGATTGTAATGCATTCACTCTTTTACTTTCGTTACTGGCTTTCGAAACATGGGGGAATCAAGTTACTGATAGAAATTCATTAAAGGAAAACTTATTCTTTTTATTAAAAAGCAGGAGGCATAAGTGCTAATAATCTTCGGAAGTGGGCACGAATCATTGAAGTTTAAGAAACACTGTGCCAGGTTCTTCGCTCAATGATCTAAATAGGCTACCACTGATATATAAAATTATCTTTGGAATAAGAGCCATTGAACATTGGTTTATTAAGCCCAGAGACATGATGCATGTTTTAATTTTGTGAATAAAACTCAACCATGTTTGCATCGCTGGTTCTCGCTTATCAATGAAATCAGTGGTGCCTTGAAAATGAATTCACACCAATATAAAACTCACCGGCACAATCAGATTCATCAGACTTGTCCACACAATCCCAAATGCCGTCGCAAAATTTGCGTTTGCTGATGCACTGACGACGATTAGCACAATGTGATTCCCCAAATGGACATCTGTCCTTTATATTATCTGAAAATGAACATTAGAGATAATTGATTTTCTTTTCTTTAAAACTCTTTAGGATCGGCCTATCCATAAATGGCTAATCTGTGTCATAATTTGGGATTATGGCTAAATTAAATCTATTTTGGGGGGTCAATAGTATTTCATAGTGGTCTGCATGTGAACAAAACCAATTTCAAAACTCAAAATGTTTGAGTTTAAATTATCCATGCTTGATCCGAGTGTCCTTAATTACGGTGACGTCATCATATTTTTTTTATGTATAATTTTCATTTTACTACTTTACTAAGATCAATTTCATTTGTATGAGTATTTCAAAGCTTGAAAATAAACAAAGAATCTGTTGTTAGTTGAAAACGAAGTATTTTGAACGCGCGAGCAACGTTCTCCAGCTCATTATAAACAAACAAAGATACCAGACAGCACGCCATCGAATACTCTTTGATAAAACGAATATCAATTCACTTCAAAAGCCCAGTCTTGTTTTGTTTTGAAGGTGACGTAAAGCTCGTCCAAAAGAGAACTCTTTCTCTTGCATATCGGTCACGTGTTGATCACAGCGTTAAAAGTGAGAAACTTTTTCTTAAAAATTTTTGAAATATCTCTCTTCTTACCGGCGTATGGTCGGACGCGTTTGCACTACGTAATTTGGGCGCGTTTTAGTGGGAAGCGGCGGAAATAAGCTTTTTAAAAAGATATTGGGAAATGTACTAGCGTGTTTGGTTAACTATTTATGTCATATTATAAAAGGGGTATAAAAAGTCGATTTGAACCAGCGTATATTAATAAGGGTTAATACTTCACTAGTTCGTAAAGAGTGAAGATTAATTCTGTATGATTTTATGAGTCTTCAGAGATTTCTCATAACATGCTCAGGATTGAGTCTCTTTTACTTCTGAGTAATTGACTCGGATAATTTCAGGTCTTTCGTTAATTAGTATTTAATGAATTAATGGAGTGCCACCATAATTCTGTTATATTGGTTGCCAGTAACTTTGCTCGGAAAGAGTCCCTTTTACATTTTAACTGCTCTTGTGTCAATTGGCATTTCTTAACGCGAGAAGGGCTAATTTTAATTGCTTATCGATTTTAATCGGTAAGTATGTTGATATGTATTTGTCTGTCTGTCTGTTAGATGCACGCGATATTGATCACGAAAGCGAGGTTGAATCTGCTCCATTTTGCATGTGCATTCAACATATGTCGGACCAGAAGCCTATTAATTTTGGATGAATTATGTCGTATAATTAGCGAGTTATTAATTAATTAGTGATGGGACACAAGGTGTCACTATGAAGTAAGAGCGCTGTTATGGGGGATCCCCTAACTTTCGATCGATAAGTCTTTGGTCTCTGACCGATATTCTCGTTTTGTTATTGCTGTTATTTCGGCATTTATTGTCTAATCCCAATCTGGTACACATACTACGTTCTGGTGGGCGTCATCTTGGTTTACATGCCACAGGAGTACCGACATTTCAGTAGTCATGAGAGTTCAGAAACCTCTTGGGTATACTCACCACAATTCAACTCATCTGATCCATCACTGCATTCCTTATTTCCATCACATTTCCAACTTAAAGGTATGCAAGGTATTGTTCCAGATTTGCAAGTGAAGTATTGTGGGAGACACCTACAAAAATTGAACAATTTGAATTTTAGTTTCTATTACCTTTATGTGCAAGTGCATAGAGGACGAAATGGCCCAGCAATGATAGGATTACCGTATTTGCTCGTTTTGTAGCCCGGGCCCATATTTTTTTAACCAAACTCATTAACCGGGCCCTTATTTAAGCACAGGAGCTTGATATTTTTAAAGTAAAATTATACACAAAAATTATGGAATCTTTGAAGACAAATATTTGACGACATTAATCCTTTTTTCATGTCAATTTATTCACGCCAAACGCACGTTGAAACCACGCACTTGGGCTTCGCGACGCCCAGTTTGAGAACCGCGGTGTTACGTAATTAATGCTATCTGTTATGTAATCGGACACCTATGGCGTGAGTGTTATCTACCAGCGCTTAAAATTCAACAGCGTTGTGACAGAAGCGCTTCTTATTTCCCATTGTTCTCTACCACTGACAAATCAGCTTTTACATCGGGCGGGTAATCAAGCACCGACCCTTATTTATTTTTATGTTCTGTTCACACGGGCGGCTATTCAAACAGGCCCTTAATCAAGATCGGGCGTGAAAACGAGCATATACAGTATACTTACTGTATATCCTAGTATATAAGCAGAGTTTAAAACTCAAAAAAAGGTTGCAAAACCAATAGGTCGGCTTATATGCACATAATTCTGATCGCACTAAAATTTGACTTGGTACACTATGACAGAGATAACAGTCTGTGATTGGTTGTCATGCCAATGATTGATTGCTTGTTTACACTATGACAGGATTTTGAGACAATTCTTACCTTTAATAATATAAGTGAAACAAAAATGATTATCATTTTCATTAATTCTCTTCTGCAACTATTTGCTGTGATAGGTGCATTCTGCGTGTTACGATTTGTAGGGTTGGCTTATGAGCGAATTTTTATAAATTCACCATTTTAGGGCCGTTTTTAGTGGCTCAGCTTATATGGGAAGATATGACTGTGACATCACATGTAAGGTCTAATTCCCTGCCCCTCACCCCACCCAGTGTGCAATGAGTTAGGCAAGCATTGTCGCATCAAAGAAAATTCTGGTGTGTGAAAAAGCATCATATAAAAACACATATTAGGCGGCTAAGCTTATTACTTATCGATTTTAATCGGTAAGTATGTTGATAGGTATTTGTCCATCTGTCTGTATGTCTGTTTGTCTGTTAGATGCACGCGATATCTCACGAAAGCGAGATTGAATCTGCTCCAGATTTTGCATGTGCATTCATCTTATCTCGGACCAGAAGCCTATTGAATTTGGGCGAATCATGTCGTATAATTAGCGAGTTATCGATTAATTTGTGATGGGACACAAGGTGTCACTATGGAGTAAGATCGCTGTTTTGGGGGATCCCCTAACTTTCGATCGATAAGTCTTCGGTCTCTGACCGATATTCTCGTTTCATTTTTAAAAGGTGGGCTTCTTTTTTGCATGAGTCTTCTTAAACATGATTTGTGTAAACTTTATATCTGGATTGATGTATGATTGATTATGATGTATTCATATGTATGTATTTTAAAGTGTCTGCCAATCATCTCAATGGACTTTGTACTGCCAGCTGTTATTTGTCTCATAGTTTATGAAGTGCTGCCTTATTTATGCCTGGTACTTCAAAAAGAAAATGACTACCACAAGAACTTGTTTTTTAAATTAATCAAAATCTTAGGCCACATACCCGTATAATAAAGCAAACAGGCGAGTCATCCACCCACCCACTTCCTATTATAGACAAAATAACAATGACTTATTATAGATCATAAAGGCATACAGGAACCTGTCATTCTTTCATAACAAAGACTTTTAAAGTTTCTAAGACAACATAAGAAGATCAAAAATATTTTTCAGTTTATATATTTTCTCGTCCAGAGATTGAAAATAAGGTTACATTTCTAATTTAATTTCCTGTCTAGAAGTCTATTGGTATCTAATGATACGCTAGGAAGAGCGATAATATTTCCAGTTCTGCACACAGAAACAAGCTATTCTTTCATAACAATGACTTTTGAAGTTGCCATGACAACACAAAATGTCAAATATACCTTGGGTTCATTATTTTAGTCGAGTAATAATGTTGAATTTGTAATTTTGGACAAGACTTGGGGTGTCACGCTAAGATTAAAATGTTGGAAATAAGCATGTTAGAGTGCGACTTTAAATCCTTGTTCAGATTTCTAAATTCTGTTAATCTATTTTCAACAAATCACAACAATCAATGAATTGCTCGTTTTTGCAAAGTTTTTCACTGCTTTCACATAAAAAGCTACAAAGACTTCAACTTGTTATGGCAACACATTTTTATGTTGAATTTATATTTTTCATATTTTTATCAATGAATAGCTCATTTTTGCATGGTTTTTCACTGCTTTCACATAAAAAGCTACAAAGACTTCAACTTGTTATGGCAACACATTTTTATGTTGAATTTATATTTTTCATATTTTTATCAATGAATTGCTCATTTTTGCATGGTTTTTCACTGCTTTTACATAAAAAGCTACAAAGACTCCAACTTGTTATGGCAAAACATTTTTATGTTGAATTTATATTTCCCAGGTAAGATTTAGGGCCAGAGGTTACCAGATTGTTCAAAGTTATATTAACCATGGTTTACTTGGTTAAACCCTTTGATCATAGTATGATAAAATATCAAGATCTTGCTGAACTACTTGTAACAAATCACAACAATCAATAACCATCCAGCTGTTTCCTACATAGAAAAAAGGAAATTACAATCAATCGGTAATGACAATTCCAAAGACTCAAATGATGATTCTCAAACGAAGTACAACAGTGGTTCTCAAACTTCTCAAGGTTCGCCCCCCTTTTAGAATTTGACAATAAAGCGGACAGGATCAAATCTAACAGCTCCCGAAGTATGCGAACCAAGATGGCGGACATCGGAATGTAATATGTGTACTAGGTTAGCGTTAGGCCATAATTTTAGGTATAAATACTACGAGAGGCTCTTGGCTAGTCTTCGAACTGATAATAGGACTAAAATAAGGAAAATTGGAAAAAAATTATCGCCTAACCCTAACCTGTTACGTTCCGATGTCCGCCATCTTGGTTCGCATACTTCGGGAGCACCTTAATTTTTAATTAGCTTAACACCTCCTAGAAAATTATCTACACCTCTTTGTGAGAACCACTGTTCCAAAGAGACTTTATGAATTTTAACAAACCTTAACTCAGGGAAATATTTATATTGATAGAGATTGAATTTTTACATAATTTGAAATATTTTACGCCAGTGGCTCCTAAAGTTGATTGACCGCGGGTTGAAATTAGAATCCGAAGATACTGGTACGCATAATAAGGTGCTGAATTGTTAAGATACCGAACTGAATATACATGGGCTTCAACTGTAATAATAATGTAACAATTGACAGTGTCTAGAACACGAAAGTAAAAAAAAATATGAACTATTTCACTCAAGTTCGGCGGGGCATATTAAATCGTTACATGAGCTGTCATCCTTTGGACATCATAAGTATTAATATTCAATGACATACAGTGACTGATTCTTAGTATTACATAGATTCCCAACATTTCTATCGTATGTAACCCAATTTTGAACATTGTCAAACATACATAAGGGTAAAGTGCCACATGGTAAATGCATCATTACTTATTCAAACATTATATTCGGAAAATATTTACACAGAGCAAACAAGAGATAAAAACTTGGAAATTTGGTTTTTACTTTGAATGAAATTTTTCCTATTTTGGCGCTCCAGTATGTGTACCAATGTGGAGGTAACTAATTTTGTTTGCAACAAGTTGTGTAAGGAGACTAAAGTCTTCCCAAACATGATTTGTGTAAACTTTATATCTGAATTGATATATTTTATAATGTATTCACATGTATGTATCAAAGTGTCTACCAATCACGTTAATTAATGAACTTTGGACTGCCAGCTGTTATTGTCTCATATTTTATAAAGCAAATTCTTTATGAAGCACTGTCTGCCTTATTTATGCCTGATATCGGTACTTCAAAAAGAAAACGGCTACCATGAGACAAAGCGATTGATTTATGACCCTTTGGTTTATAAACGGATTCAAGAAAAACGACACCAGACTGGAAAACAAAGCTGTTAACTAACCCATTGAAGTACATCACTGTACTTATTATATTTAAACGTTCCAGTTAATAGATTGTTAAAAATGATTAAAATTACCCCTTTATTGTTAAGAATGGTTAATTCTGTAGAATTCCACCTGAAACAAACATGACCTGTTTCTAACCAAATAAAATTATGAGTGCATATTAGTGCTTAACTGACCAGCAGAGAAGCAATTTTTCTGCCTGTCCTTTTGGAGGGTTGTATGGGGGAAAAAACTCTATTTTAGTTCTAATATAGGCTTCGTCTTATTTGCCGGGTAGACTTATTCGTCAAAAAATACGATACATCTTTTTCAGGAGCAGGGCTAAGCGAGGATTTTATTTGGTTGACGTGCGTTAAGATTGCTCCATCTAGTAAACGGTTATTTTTTGTGTTATAGTATAGCAGTAATTAATGAAAGCCTAGAAAATGGTATAAATGAGTTTTCCTCGAAGATTGAGAATCGGAACCCCCCGTTGGAAATGTAAAAAGACCTATTTCTATATCATACATGCAATTTATCATAGATTGAAAAGCTTTTTAGACCTTCGAGACTTCTTGGAAACCCATGTTTCCCGGCCTTCATCCAGACCTGCTATCTCTTATGCTAACCCCCCCTATTTAAAATATCCTGGCTACGCCCCCCTGATCATCATGTTCAAACATGGAAGTTTATTACAAAGTATTTACTCTGGGCAAACATTGAGTCTTGATATGACAACACTCACGTCAACGGAAAGATTGAATTAACATTTAGTGATAAACTGTTGGAAGGGTTGTTCAAATACTTTATGAATAGGAAACACCATTTATATAGAATTCATTCCATTTTTCTCCGGATTCCTTTGAAAAAGGGTATACTACTTTAATATTAAGCAATTTCAGTTATAGAGATTTCGCTCCTCATGTTTTCCGATTTCATAGGAATGGGTACATATACGATATACGGTACTTTATCAATACGTAACTTTAGTTATACAGAAATCGCAACCCCAATTTTTTCAGATTCCATTGTAAAAAGGGTCATATACTTTAACATTAAAAAAGCTAAATGGAATTCACTACCTACCAGTCACAGCTGTTTTCCTAGTAATATTGATTTGACTTGTTTTCAAGTCTTGTGCAAATCAGCAGTAATTGGCACATTATAGATTCTATATATTTTTAGTAGTTCTTGTCTATTCAGTGGCTATATGTGACTTTTCTCACAAACTTTCCCATCCTTAACTGCGGTCAGTCAATTTCGATATATACTTGTACATAACACACCATCAGAAATCTATGTAATTTTAGTCTTTCTCAGGTGCTCCCGAAGTATGCGACCAAGATGGCGGACATCGGAACGTAACATGGGTAACAGGTTAGGGTTAGGCGATAATATTTTTCCAATTTTCCTTATTTTAGTCCTATTATCAGTTCGAAGACTAGCCAAGAGCCTCCCGTAGTATTTACACCTTAAATTATGGCCTAACCCTAACCTAGTACACATATTACATTCCGATGTCCGCCATCTTGGTTCGCATACTTCGAGAGCCCCCTTTCTCAACATTTTAAGGTTGTTGGCCTACATATATATTAATAATGTTATTGGTATGACCTCTAACTACCATACCGCAAAATATAGATTTTATTATTCCTATAGCCTATAGTTTCTGGGGCTCTGGCGCCAGCTCTAACAAAATGTCATGACTAAAAGGCTCTCCATCTCCGTTTTTGGCGCACCAGAATTATGTGTACCGATATGTAGGTAACTAATTTTGTTCGCTAGTTTACATCAACTTGTGTAATGGGACGGAAACCTATGGGCAGGGGGTATATTCACTAGGCTAACACAGACAGTCTCTGAACTCGTAATAGAACTAAAATATAGAAATCGGAATAAAATTATAGCCTAACCCTAACCTGGTACACATACTAAAGGAGTACTCCTGTTTTGACTCTGTGATTAAAAAAAACTCACAAAAACAACAAAACGGTTTTCAATGATATTGAGCGACCAATAACAGACTGTTGCCGCTGTTGAGTTATAATCTTAAAAAATGTATTCTTAGTGCAATCAGAGTTAGGCACATATAAGCCGACCAATTAGTTTGGCAACTTTTTTTTTGAGCCTATCCGACCTATATGCAAGGATATACAAGGTAATTCACTAATTCTTTGAGAAAGCCAAATCAAGCGCTTACTTTCTATTTTCATTCTCACATTCTTGTTCATCACTTTCATCTCTGCAATCAGAGATTCCGTCACATTTCCAATCCTCATCTATGCAATGAGTCTTATCAGCACAGGTGAATTGATTATCTGGAAAGTATTTTAAAAATTCAATAGGGCAGAACAGACAGAATTTTCTAACCCTATTAATACATTAAGAATAATCTGCCATGAACAAGAGCAATATCATCAGAAATGTAATGGAGTTGAACAGTCAGAATCCAGACACTGTTATTAGATTAAGGTTATTCTGGCAATTTATATTTCCATACAAAATAAAAGCATAAAACAGTATTCAAATTAGTTTGTAACTCTCAAGTCACAAAAACGCTGGTCTATTCAATACCACACTGCCCACCAATACAGTAATTTTAATAAATTCTGGTATAAGAAATGTTTCAATGATAAAAGCCATCAAACAATAAATAAATGCAATAGAGCGAAAGAAATATACAAATCATGACCTAGTGGTTAGACTTATTAAAACTATCACCCCCGCTCAGCGCTATGCACTGGAGCGGAACTTCCAACAACGAATGCAAAATACGGCTCTTAGAACTATCACAGGATGTCACACCTCATGGCAAGCAAAAATCATCTCCATCGAGAAACAAAGTTGCTGCCAGTGGAGGCTCACAATGAAATGCTATCCACGCAATTCCTTGCCGGATGCTACGACCAATACCACTCCTGCCACATAACAAGCACCAGCGAACAGCCATGTCGTAAAGTCAAGAACTTCTTCTCTGAAGCCTTTTCCAACATGCCGAGAAAGCCATCAAGGGTTAAGCCACTTGCTCATTAACCCTACAAGAAAACGTAAAAGCCACAGAGTACCAAGTTCGAAAATTCTCTAAACAAAAATTGGCATAAAAACCTACCTTTACATATAATATCAGTGCATCCTACTTCATCAGATCTATCTCTACATTCATTCACACCATCACAGCGATAGTCAATATCTATACATTGTTGCTTATTTGAACATTGGAATTCATCATCCCTGCATTCTCGCTGAAAATATAAGTCAACAGTTTTATAATAAGCGCATCCAGGGTGGAGAATTTATTATCGCCTAAACCAGGAATGTGCAACCTGCAGCCCATTGGACAAATACGGCCCACATTTTTTTTAAAACAGATTTTCTATGTTTCGACTTTCGAGTTAAAACGCTCATTCTACTATATCAAACATGACTGATTAATTTGAACATCCAGGACTTATATTGAATTATTCAAACGTCCAGTTCATTATACACATTCCTAGATCTAACTCTCACAAACAAAATATCTCCAATATACCGCGGGGCAATTCTCTTCATCCTCTCCTCCAGTGCAGTCCGCGTCTCCATCACATTTATAGGAATTTGGCATGCAAGCTTTCGACCCTCGACATCGGAAATAACCCTCCTTGCAATCCCCAGCTGTGGAGATGAAAATAGTTGCATTTGATAAATAATTTTACTCAGAAATTATTTTTGTAGCAATGGACACAAACGAGTCCAAAGTATGGAATAAACAAAAAAAAGGACCCACAGTTCAGTAAGCAGTACTCTATCACTCTCTCATATAGACTATAACTGACCTGGGCAAACTACGACCCGCGGGCCAAATTGAGCCCGTTAGGTAATTCAATATGGCCCGCCTGATGCTGCTACAACCAAATTAAAACCAAATTTTGATGTTTTAGCTAAAAAATAGCTTAATGGATTTGTTGAAATTAAGTTTAAATTTAGTTTTGGCACGAGGCCTATTATTTTCCATTATTTCCATTATTTATTTATTCCATTATTGGGGGCTCCCGAAGTATGCGAACCAAGATGGCGGACATCGGAATGTAATATGTGTACTAGGTCAGGGTTAGGCCATAATTTTAGGTATAAATACTACGGGAGGCTCTTGGCTAGTCTTCGAACTGATAATAGGACTAAAATAAGGAAAATTGGAAAAAAAATTATCGCCTAACCCTAACCTGTTACCCATGTTACGTTCCGATGTCCGCCATCTTGGTTCGCATACTTCGGGAGCACCCATTATTGTTATTATTTGCTTTTGTAACACTGAGAATATTGTTCATAAAATGTAACATTTTGTGTCCCAGCATAGGAGGGCAGGCCCCAGGTCCAAAAACCTTGCCTACCCATAGCCATAGCCTATACCTTTGCTTTTGTTTAGGATTATTTTTCGTTGACGATTCAATATATCTTTTTATCGGTGACCGTACATTTGAACCCACGTACATTTGAACCCATGTGTATATCCGCGGGTTCAATCTATATGCGGGTGCTAAAACCCATGGGTTAGGGTTAGTGTGGGTTCAACTATCCGAAAAACAAAAAAAATTCCATAGGTGTAATAGCATACAGGTGCAATTGCCATGGGTTCAAATGTACGTGGGTTCAAATGTAGTGGAACCCTTTTTATCATAGGCATTAGACTTGACAATATAAAAGAAGCGGCAATAAATCTACTCACAACAAAGTTCGTCAGTTTCATCAGATCTATCAACGCAATCGTTCTCTCCGTCGCATATCCAGTTACTGTGAATACATTTCCCATTCGCACAAGTATATTGTGTTGTAGTGTTACATGATGGGCGAACTGAAAGATATAAAAGTAAGAAAAATCATTAATTCTTTAACATTCTTCATATCGCCTATTTTGCAACTCTTCATTTCTGAGTAAGAAATCTTTTTCTATTATTTCATCTTTAATGGAAATTAGCTAATGATACGTGCAACTTAAATAGTTTAAAATGTGTGCATAAATAAAATAAGTATCACAGTAATACTAAAAAGGTGAAGAATGTTAGTAATACCACAAGCTCTTCTGTTTATCAATCCATGTCAGTCAGGAAATGAATAATTAACCAGTTATTTATTTCAAAGGCATAGACTTGATGTTGAAAGAAGCTGTTACTAACAAGCAGTTTCGTGAACCTTGAAGGGTATCGAGTTAATTCTCTAATCCATAATAATCATCCACAGCAGGGTCGGCAACCTTTTGTCGCTCGCGGGCCAAAATTAAGGGTTGCAAGTCGTTGGTGTGCCGCACATATTTTTAGAAAGTTGAAAACCGAAAGGATGATACTTTTTATCAGTAAAAATCAGGCATTATAACATCTCTCGAGTTTCGAATAGAACATAGATTTATTCCTTCATTGGCTGTGAACCTTGAAGGGTATCAAGTTAATTCTCTAATCCATAATAATACTCCACAGCAGGGTCGGCAAACTTTTGTCGCTCGCGGGCCAAAATTAAGGGTTGCAAGTCATTGGTGTGCCGCACAAATTTTTAGAAAGTTGAAAACCGAACGGATGATACTTTTTATGAGTAAAAATCAGGCATTGATACATCTCTCGAGTCTCGAATAGAATATAGATTTATTTCCTCATTGTATTGCATCGCAAAAAGTTCCATTTGAATTTTTTCGGCGCCATTGAACCATTTGCACTTAGCATCAACTTTTCTGCGTTTTGTTGCCATTTGTCTAATTATAATTAATTTATAGGCTCATTAAACCAGTAATTGTGAATTATATACTTGTTAGATTATAATATAATTTAGTTTACATGCGTCTCACAAAAAATTCTGTTGCGTAAAAAATATAATCGCCAAAACAGCTGTTTTGGTACTACATTTCAGTGAAACTTCGCGAGCCAGACTGCATTACCTGTAGGTTGCCGACCCCTGCTCCACAGAAATCAAATCTGCAAACTCGCGCAGGGTAATGCGAGAAGTGCGATGGCAAGTGTATTACCAATGCTTAGTACAATGTACAGAATCAGATTTTGAATATGTCGTAAATCAACTCACCACATCCTAGTTCGTCTGACCTATCGTCGCAATCATACCTAAAATCGCATCTTTGAGTAAGAGTGACGCATTGTGATGTTGTATTGCATTGAAATAGATTGTGTGCTGCATCACATATAGGAGATTTTGATTCTATAAATAAAAGTTTGAGAAATAAAAAAAACGGTTCAAATACATAGAATAGAAAAGAACTTTCGAATATTACGGTAAAATTTACAACAATTATTTTTTTCTGAGAAAACCAATGAAGACGTTTTTACATTGTGCTTACTATTAGGTTAGTGAACAGTGTCGATTTTTGTCAATATAGAGGCGCCAGGCTGGTTTGTAAAAAAGGGATTTGCACTCACTGTTAAAATTTGCTTTTCAAAATGTCAAAATATGCGGGATATTTTCAGAATCGGAGAACCGTGGCATGCTGATAACTGAACAACTACTGAACTAAAGAAATTAAAATTGCATTTTCATATGTGCAACATGTGAACATTGAATTTATTACTTATCGATTTTAATCGGTAAGTATGTTGATAGGTATTTGTCTGTCTGTCTATCTGTTAGATGCACGTGATATCTCACGAAAGCGCGATTGAATCTGCTCCAGATTTTGATGTGCATTCATCATATGTCGGACCAGAAGCCTATTGATTTTGGATGAATTATGTCGTATAATTAGCGAGTTATTAAATAATTAGTAATTGGACACAAGGTGTCACTATGAAGTAAGAGCGCTATTTTGGGGATCCCCTAACTTTTGATCGATAAGTCTTCGGTCTCTGACCAATATTCTTGTTCTATTTTTATAGAAAACACATGTACAAATCATAACAAATTTAAATCCATAGAAATATAATAATTAAAAAACATCGTCACAAGTTAAGTTAAACCTTGATACCATATAAGGCAGGGGTGGGCAACTTCTCTAGTCGGCGGGCCAGATGTGAAAAAATAAAGCCCTCGGTGGTCCGGATTATTACAAAAAAAACTTCGGTATCCAATCTTTGTTAAATGCTCGACACTCTCTGTCAACTTTATGTTTCTTGGGATATTCCATGGTTAATAAAACTTAATATAAAATCTAATTTCTAAAATCTTTTTATATTTAGGTTCCAAATATAACTGATAACAGTAGTGGGGAATGTTCACAACGCTCTCTGCTCTGACCTTATATTGTTTGTTTAACAAGTGTGGCAACGCAATTGTTTGTTCACTAAGGCAATTGTTTATTTCACCAGCTCGCACTGAGAGTAGAGCAATCGGCAACTTTTATGAATGATGCGTCAGACCACATTACAGAGTGTGGTTGGATACAGTCAGCGGGCCAGTCAAAATCTCGTCGCGAGCCGGGGCCCACCCCTGATGAAGAGGGTCTAGCAAAGTTAACTCTGTAACACCTTAAATACAACCAAACCAAAATGTGATGTAAAATTTTTTGTATTTTTAAAAAACATCTTGACAGATGAGTTTGGATGAAATCAAACCCACTCAGTCTCCAATCAAGCAGGTATGTCTAATGCCAAATAGGGTATCTATAGCGTTCCGCGTGAGACTGACTTTTATTCTAAAAAAATAAAAATTCAGGCAGTATTTTTACATCACTTTTTTGTTTGACATTATTTAAGCGCTTTCAATGGGGTCTTACTACTTACTGAATACAACGCGAAACACCGCAAAGAGCGCGAAACAGCGCAAAAGAGCGCGAAACAGCTCAAAATAGCGCGAAACAGCGCAAAACAGAGGAAAACAGCGCGAAACAGTAGGAAACCAGCGCAAAACAGAGGGAAACAGTGCAAAACAGGAGACACAGTCATTACCACCTCCTGCCACGAAAGAACCATGGCGCCTCTCGCTATGGTTTTATGGCGCTATTTCCGGCATATTTACAAGGTTATGTACCGGATTATAGGTCATCATGCGAAATTTTATCTACCTTTTTGGTGCTCCAGAAGTATGTGCAGCAATATGTCACACAACCTGAATCCGCTACACACACACACACATACTATTTTCAGGTTGTGCGCCATCTTGGTGCACATACTTCTGGAGGTCCCTTTTAACTAACCCTAACCCTAAAGCCAACCATATCCATATGGAAAATGTTCTAAATTATGGTACCCAAAATGTGTCACCAGCAGGGGCAGACCTGCCATTACAGCATTACTGGCTACATACGTTGGTTTGTGTTTTTAATTTGCTGCCGTGGTACTCCAACTCAAAACAAGGTGCCCCGAACTCATTGCAAAATTTTTTTCTGCCTCACACTGTTTCCATCTGTTTTGCGCTCTTTCGCGCTGTTTCCACACTGTTTCGCGCTGTTTTGCGTTGTTTCGCGCTGTTTTGCGCTCTTTGCGGTGTTTCGCGCTGTATTCAGTAAGTAGTAAGACCGCTTTCAATGTGTTCCTCTTTAGATCCCATAAAAGCCGGCAAAGTATAAGTTATGACGGGAAAACGAGAAAAATAGCTTGCTCGATTTCGGGTGATCATATGCACGTTTTTGACGACCATCCGCATACTTTGGCGGGCCTTATTACGCCAATGTGAAGTGGAAATGACGAAATTTTTCGGTGACATAGTCAGGTGGGGGCCAGACTGGATTCCATGGCAGGTGCACGCCCGAGGGCGCTAGCGCTCCGCAAAAATGCACGCGAGCGAAATCAATTTTGCACGCCGAAAATTTGCAATTGCTCACCAATGTAAATCGGTTTAAATGGTTTTAAAATCAATAATCCAGTAATATAAAGATGCCAAAATATTATAACTCCACAATTGTCGACAAATACCAGCCTGCAAGATTTGGTCTGATCGAAATATTGCGAAGCAAAAAGACCATGGACCTTTCCCCAACCTTTGACCCGCGAAAAATTCCTCTCATTGTTACGTCCTTTTTTGCATCTTACTGATTGGCCAATGTCACGAAGTAAACAAGGAAGTCGATGTTCGGGGAAAGGTCCATATCGTGTTGAATGATAGGAAATAGGAATCCCGTGAGAATAGTTATGGACGAAAAGATCGCCTCCGCACCAATGGCCAAGTACGGCTCTGATTCAGCGTATTTTTCATACAATAATTTTACACGAATGTACTGAACAGTACCGGTATCTAAAGTTGCTCAAACACTCCCAAAATTAGTGACAAAGTATAAAAATAATGTTTGGGGTCAAAGGTCAAACGTCCATTTTGCTCTAATTTGACGTATTTTTTATCCATTAATTCTACGTAAAAACACTACCAAAATTAATGACAAAGTATGTCCATTTTGCTCTGGTTCAACGTATTTTTTATCCAATAATTTTACGCGGATGTACTGAACAGTACCGGTATCCAAAGTCGCACAAACACTCTCAAAATTAGCGACAAACTGTAGAAATAATGTTTGGGGTCAAAGGTCAAACGTCCATTTTTTTCTCTGATCCAACGTATTTTTTATCCGATACCGGTAATTTTACGCGGATGTATTGAGAGGTATCTGATGTCAAAGTCAGTTGCACGCGAGTGCAGTTGTTTTGCACGTCGTGAGCTATAATTGCACGCCAGGAATTCTTATTTGCACGCGGGAATTTCTGATTGCACGCCCGATTTCTCGTTCAAAAAGGCCATGAAATCCAGACTGGGGTGGGGGTTAGGATTGGCATATGCAGAAATTGTTGAGCCAGGCCAACTAGAAGTGCATGTGGTACTAAACTATACCAGTCCCGTGTTAAACTTAGGATTAATTCAGTAATTACATACGGTATCGGTAGTATACAAAATAATTAAAAATAATAAATAAATAAAAATTACTTGCCACACCATATTATGTATTAATACTGAATTAATGCTCACCTGTTGGTTCTAGCCAACAGAACAAAATCAACATACAAATGAGAAAATGTTCATGATACATCCCATCCATATTGAACAGTGGAGTTTACTGGTTTATCCAGATCACGAAATTACTTTTTTTGGTTGCAGCTGTTCACGGTACTGTACCGCGCTCAGTCCACGCCTGTGCAACTAAAGACCGGTATATCCAAATGCTAGAAAAGTTATAGAATTCTAGAATGAATCCGCTTGTCTTGAAAACTTAAATATGTAGCCTAATTGTAAATATTCGATTCCAATTTCCTGACCTCGGCAGCTTGGCAACAGCATCGAGCACGCCTAAACTGATGCAAAACATAAACACTAAATCACGCCACCGGCATTACTCATGCGTAAAACCCGAAAGGGCGGAGCCTAATCGGATTTTATATTTGCAGAAAATTCGAATTGACTTTAAATATTTGATAAATTCGTTGCGATTGCAATGATTTTTGCAGAATGAATGAAAATAATTGTCGTGAACTTATTTCTTTATATTAGTTCAAAATTTGTACGAATTCTTTTTCGGTCTTACTATCCTCTGCCAACTGCGGTATCCATCAGTCTTCCCATACCCGCCACACTGCGCTGTCCAGTGGCTTTCCTATCCCCGACCCACTGCGCTATCCCACCAGCCTTAATATCCTCCGCCTACCGCCCTATCCCCCAGGCCCCTCTATCCCCAACCCACTGCGCTATTACATCATCCTTCCTGTCTCCAACCCACTGCGCTATCGCCCAAGTCTTCTTATCCCTGACCAATCTCCCGGTTCCCAAAACCCTGGCCCGCGACACTATCCCCGATCCGTCTTTCATAAGCTTAGCCTAACGAACTCTGCCTAATATAGCTGTCCCTTACCCACGCCCTGACATCAAACTTAATCTTCTTCGCTACCGATTACACAAATTTTCAGGCTTTATACGGCTCAACTGTGCCAATGATAATTTTGAAGAGTACTTCAAGAAAATAAGTCAATAAAGGCCGTGGCCGCATTTGTAAGATATTGTTATGATTATATACAAAGATTGAAACAAATTTATAGCTCCAGTGAGTGTGAATGATGACTAAAAATGGTTGAAGTCGTTAAAATGTGGTTTATTTAAAACAACTTGCCAAGTCATTCAAACGTAGGCTTATTGTCTGAAATATCAAATTATTATAGACCACCATCATTGGTGGCATAAAAATGTATTACTTTTACGTGGCTCAACGGCCTAAGCGTTAGGAATACGCTCGCCACCGCACCTCTAATTACTCTACATGGGTTCGCAGGTTCGGATCCCATGCAGGGATCGTTATGTGCGAGAGGATTGCTGGACTCCGTCGTTGGGTGGTTCACGTACCGCTGGTCGGTTACGGCTTCCTCTATGTCCTTTCGAAAACAAACAATATTAACTAATCCCATACCCGACTTGGAATGGAAACCGGACGAGAGGCCGTGGTACGCCATATGGATAAGTCGTCTTATCGGCTTTCCTCTCCCCCGGGATAAATATGTGAAATCCTATCCTACCTTGTTAAAATACGCACGGCAAAGATCCAGAACAAATAGTTGGAATCGGTTTTTCGTCATATTTAGAACATCGTGTATTTTGCAATGATATTTTGCTAGCTAGTTTTGCTAATATGACAGTGGTACTCTAGTGCGCAAAATATTGGAATTTCTCGCAAGTACCAATTTAACTATATTAAGATATATTTTCGCGGGCACATCATTCAAAATTGGCACTTCTCCATGAGACGCACAATATGTCCTTGTGAGCTGCATTTCGCACACCACTGACCAAGTCGATAGCGCAATGTTTTTTTGACCAAGTCGATAGCGATATTTTTTTTCGCCCAAGTCGATAGCGCAATGTTTTTTTGACCAAGTCGATAGCGCAATTTTTTTTTTGACCAAGTCGATAGCGATATTTATTTTTTTTGACCAAGTCGATAGCGATATTTATTTTTTTTGACCAAGTCGATAGCGAAATTTTTTTTTGACCAAGTCGATAGCGCAATGTTTTTTTGACCATGTCGATAGCGCAATTTTTTTTGACCAAGTCGATAGCGCAATTTTTTTTGATCTACATTCCTGTCCCTATCTAATTTAAATTACTATAGTGTTCATACCTCAAGCAGCCCATATGTTACCATTTACGTAATTTTCCTCCACCACAGTGAAAATTTCCGCGTTTTGAATGAAAATTTTTTTGTGAGTCACTTTCGCGGCTGTGCTGGAAAACCCAGTTTGCGCAATGACATTAAACAACATGATGCGCAACTCCGGCATTTTTGTCCGAAGATCGTATTCGATAGCACGCTCCAATGCACATACTTGACGAGACGAAAACGAGCGGATGTGTGCTGCTTTCAAGGCGTAGCACGAATGGTGTTCGTGCCTGCTTTGACAGTTGTTGTCGATTTTAATGATATTTTTGAAAGTTGGGGTAAAAAGAAATCGGTAAAAGGTAAGGTGAATACTATTGTTGTATATCACACCCGGGCATCGCACTGTTAAGTACATGTGGGAAAGCCAGCCTTTGTCAAATACTACGAAGTTATTAATTCAGTACGGTACGTAGTTGCCCATTTGCCGAAATTACATATTTACTTACTCCTTATGGTTTCAAATAGTTCATGCACCTCCAGTTAGATTTTTTTAATCAGTGAGGATATATACTCATTGTTGATTGCTGCTCACTGTAACATACTATTACGCATTCACTTTTATTTGCGTATTGAATCAAAGTGTTAACAAGTTCACCTAACATTTCACTCATACCGGTCTATATTGTATAGTCTGATTTCTCAAGTATTTGGAGCCACGAATGCTTGTAATTTTCTGACTAAACCCCTTTATTAGTTGGTTTATTTTCCAAAATTCAGTAAAATATTTTTTAAATAAAACACGAGATATTGGATTTATTAGCTTTTCCATTCTGAATCATATAGACTGCTTTATTTATTCTTAACGAAAATTAATAAATCTCCTCTCTTTCTTCAGATGTGAAAGTTGTGGACAAACCTGTCTAAGCATTGTGAGACTCTTGCAGCACAAGAGGCAATAGCAGAAATAGTAAGTATATCAATCAAGAAATTAAGCCGACATAAAGCAAAACTTTCAACTATTCGTCTAATCTCAATTTCCTATTATTTATTCACAGGACAACTATAGCAGACGGGGAGATATCAGAAGTCTGGCGACATATCAGTGACAGTGTGATTTCAAGAAATATAATGCAATTGAAAATAGAAAAATTGCAATAGAAAAACAACCTATGTAGGCATGCAAAGACATTTGACCCTCCGGTAGAGTTGTGTATGGCCCCCACATCCTGCAGGGCTTGAGGAAAATAACTAAAAATTCCAAAGCGTAAGATTGCATAAGCGGTCTTATTTGTAAAAAGGCACAAAGCACGCCAGACATACTTAAAACAGCTTTGGAAATGAGGATTACGGGTACCTCACTACACCTGTGTTATATTTGGTTCATCAACTTTTGGTAGTACTATAGAAGAAATTCCGGAAGGGGTATAATCATCATTCATGATAAAATACTATCATATATTTTTTGAACAACTTCAATCTAGACCAGGGATCTCAAACTCGCGGCCCCAGAGAACTTCCAGTGCGGCCCTCGAACGCTTAACAATAATTGTAATAGTATTTTGGAAGTTTTTTTTATTATCTATAAACCTTCTAAAGTGAAATTGATTATTCACACAGAAAACAATTTACTGAAAGTAGTTTTGGAATATTAATTTTTTTTGTCCACATTTTGACCCAATTAAGAATACACATCAAGCTAGCAAAAGAATACTTGAATAAAACACTTGAGTAATTAAATTAAACGCAAAGTACACGAAGAAGGTGGCATTTTCGAAGAAAATGGGAGTTGTAACATTTCTTCTCTTCACAAAATTCTGAAGCACATTGTTTAATTTGTCATATTTCCATCAATACAATCAAAAAACACAATAAGCTCAGCAGTCAATATGACAAATTCGAAGACCAACTTCGAACAGAAAATTTCCATGTGTTTGTATATTAATATAATTATACAACGACTTAGTTACTAAAAATCAATATCAATAATAATTCAAGCAATCCTATGCCACGCAATGTAGTGCGAAATGTCTTGTCGAAAAAATCTGTCATTTGTTTTTTTACTGATCTATACATGAAATGATAAAAGTAACTTTTTTGCATTACTGGAATTAATTAAACATTCGTAAAGATCCAGATAAACCCATGATCATGTGGCCTCGTTAGTTAGAGTTGGTACTATAAAATCATTTCAGACTGGCCTTAGTATGCTGGTGACACAAAAAAGATGCCAAACGCCAGGACGAATGTAATTATTAAAACATTGAGTTTATACTGTAGTATTTTTGTTAATTTTAGGTTCATATATTTAGATTAAGTTATTTTTAGTGTATGTATTATTCTTTCCTTATTCAAAGCTTGTTCAAAAACGATTTTGATGGTTGTACATAGAATTTTACGATTTTTTATAATAAATACTGTAACTTGCAAATGTTGCAATAATAGTGGAATGCAAATATTAATATGTAATTGCATTTGAAATTGAAGAAAATAATAAAACTTAATCCAACTGTTTAGTTGCATCACAATATATGTCACAAACTAAAACTATCTTAAAAATATCTTTTAAGTATGCATTATCAAAAACTGTTTGCGGCTCTTTTTACAATTTTCAAAATGCAATCAGCTCTCGAAAATCCATGAGTTTGACACCACTGATCTATTCTAGACGATTCAAGCATTGCTTTGGGAAATTATATCACTTCAATTAAATTGAAATAATCTCGCTATATTAAATACAAAATCGTTGCTATCATAAAGGTAAACCAATTCAGCCACTCGAAATATATTGGCCTTCACAAAGCAATGGAGGCAAAATTGAGAGATCATGAGCTATGAACATTTGTTCTTTTCTTTGTCTTGAACTTTCCATACTCAACAGCCCCTATTAATTTTTTTTAATTTTAATTACCATGTGATGGTCATACATATCTTTAACTTGTATTTTCTGTCATGATGTATTATCTCAATGTGCCAAACTATTAATTTGTGTGCATATTTTGCTTCCAGATGACATAAATGTATTGTCATGTTTATTACCTCAGCTTGGAGTATTGACAAGAAAAAGGTGCCAGTAAATTAGGTAAAAAAATTTTCAACTCATTGTTATAATCAGAATTCACAATCAATAGGAATTATAAACAGCCAACAATCAGTGAGAATTATATGCGAAATCCCTCAGAATAAATTTGTCTAAAATCGGAGGAAGGCAAAAAATATAGGTAGTTTCCAT